ACTAGTGACAGAGAGGGAGGGGGTGACTAGTCACAGTGAGGGAGGGGGTGACTAGTGACAGAGTGAGGGAGGGTGTCACTAGTGACAGAGAGAGGGAGGGGGTGACTAGTGACAGTCACCACCTCATTCACTCTGTCACTAGTCACCCCCTCCCTCACTCTGTCACTGTGTCACCCCCTTCCTCACTCTGTCACTAGCCACCCTCTCTCTCACTCTGTCACTAGTCACCCCCTCCCTCACTCTGTCACTAGAGTGAGGGGGTGACTAGTGACAGAGTGAGGGGGTGACAGAGTGAGGGAAAGGGATGACTGGTGACAGAGTGAGGGAGGGGATGACTGGTGACAGAGTGAGGGAGGGGATGACTGGTGACAGAGTGAGGGAGGGGGTGACTAGTGACAGAAGAAGGGAGGGAGTAGTGACAGGAGGAGGGAGGGAGTAGTGACAGAGGGAGGTGGTGACTAGTAACAGTCACCACCTCCCTCACTCTGTCACTAGTCACCCCTTCCTTCCCTCACTCTGCCACTAGTCACCCCTTCCCTCACTCTGTCACTAGTAACCCCCTCACACTAGTGACAGAGTGAGGGAGTGACAGAGAGAGGGAAGGGGGTGACTAGTGACAGAGTGAGGGAGGAGGTGACTGTCACTAGTCACCCCATCCCTCTCTCTGTCACTAATCACTCCCTCCTAACTCTGTCACTGTGTCACCCCCTCCCTCACTCTGTCACTAATCACCCCTCTGTCCTTAGTGACAGAGTGAGGAAGGGGGTGACTAGTGACATAGTGAGGGAGGGGGTGACTAGTGACAGAGTGAGAGAGGGGATGACTAGTGACAGAGAGAGGGAGGGAGGGGAGGGGGTGACTAGTGACAGTCACCACCTCCTTCACTCTGTCACTAGTCACCCCCTCCCTCACTCTGTCACTAGAGTGAGGGGGTGACTAGTGACAGAGTGAGGGGGTGACAGAGTGAGGGAAGGGGATGACTGGTGACAGAGTGAGGGAGGGGATGACATGTGACAGAGTGAGGGAGGGCGTGACTAGTGACAGAAGGAGGGAGGGATTAGTGACAGTGAGGGAGGTGGTGACTAGTGACAGTCACCACCTCCCTCACTCTGTCACTAGTCACCCCTTCCTTCCCTCACTGTGCCACTAGTCACCCCTTCCCTCACTCTGCCACTAGTCACCCCTTCCCTCACTCTGTCACTAGTCACCCCCTCACTCTAGTGACAGAGTGAGGGAGTGACAGGTGACAGAGTGAGGGAGTGACAGGTGACAGAGTGAGTGACTAGTGACAGAGTGAGGGAAGGGGTGACTGTCACTAGTCACCCCATCCCTCTGTCACTAGTCACTCCCTCCTAACTCTGTCACTGTGTCACCTGCTCCCTCACTCTGTCACTAGTCACCCCTTCCCTTACTCTGTCACTAATCACCCCCCCTGTCCTTAGTGAGAGAGGGGGTGACTAGTGACAGAGAGAGGGAAGGGGTGACTGTCACTAGTCACCCCATCCCTCTGTCACTAGTCACTCCCTCCTAACTCTGTCACTGTGTCACCTGCTCCCTCACTCTGTCACTAGTCACCCCCTCCCTCACTCTATCACTAATCACCCTCTCTGTCCTTAGTGACAGAGTGAGAGAGGGGGTGACTAGTGACAGAGTGAGGAAGGGGGTGACATAGTGAGGGAGGGGGTGACTAGTGACATAGTGATAGATGGGGTGACTAGTGACAGAGTGAGGGACGGGGTGACACAGTGACAGAGTGAGGGAGGGAGTGACTAGTGACAGAGAGAGGGATGGGGTGACTAGTGACAGAGTGAGGAAGGGGGTGACTAGGGAGAGAGGGGGTGACTAGTGACAGAGGGAGGGGTAACACAGTGACAGAGTAAGGGGGTGACTAGTGACAGAGTGAGGGAGCGGGTGACACAGTGACAGAGTTAGGGAGGGAGTAACTAGTGACAGAGAGAGGGATGGGGTGACTAGTGACAGTCCCCCCCCCCTCACTCTGTCACCAGTCATCCCCTCACTCTGTCACTAGTCACCCCTTCCCTCCCTCACTCTGCCACTAGTCACCCATTCCCTCACTCTGTCACTAGTCTCCCATTCCCTCCCTCTGTCACTAGTCTCCCCCTCTCCTTCCCTCTGTCACTAGTCTCCCCCTCTCCTTCCCTCTGTCACTAGTCACCCACTCCCTCACTCTGTCACCAGTCACCCCCACTCACTGTGTCTCCCCCTCACTCTGCCACCACTCAACCCCTCCTTCCCTCACTCTGCCACCAGGTACCCCCTCACTCTGCCACCTGTCACCTTCTCCCTCATACACTCTGTCACCTGTCACATATGCATTCACACAGACACTATATACAAAAAGCACATGTAGTCATCCAGACATGCACAAGTGCATTCACACAGACTCAAATACAAACATGCATTGATACACAGGTCTTCACAATACACACATCCAAAGGAATGCCGTATTATGAATTATATTTAACATTTATTAAAATGCACATATATTTGGCCTTCAAAGGGCCTGGGATCTAATTTTGCCCGGGGGCCCCAAAGGCTCTCAGTCCGCCCCTGGTGACAGCCATACCTCGCTATATATACTGATAGTCATACCTCGCTATATATACTGACAGCCATACCTCGCTATATATAGTGACAGCCATACCTCGCTATATATACTGACAGCCATACCTCGCTATATATAGTGACAGCCATACCTCGCTCTATATACTGATAGTCATACCTCGCTATATATACTGACAGCCATACCTCGCTATATATAGTGACAGCCATACCTCGCTATATATACTGACAGCCATACCTCGCTATATATACTGACAGTCATACCTTACTATATATACTGACAGTCATACCTCACTATATATACTGACAACCATACCTCGCTATATACTGACAGCCATACCTCGCTATATATACTGACAGTCATACCTCGCTATATACTGACAGTCATACCTCGCTATATATACTGACAGCCATACCTCGCTATATATACTGACAGTCATACCTCGCTATATACTGACAGTCATACCTCGCTATATACTGACAGCCATACCTCGCTAAATATACTGACAGTCATACCTCGCTATATACTGACAGTCATACCTCGCTATATATACTGACAGCCATACCTCGCTATATATACTGACAGCCATACCACGCTATTTACTGGCAGTCCCGCACAGCACACTAACAGCAATACCTGTCCTGCATTTAAGCTTTCCCTCACCTCTCTCCCCAGAGCCCCCCAGCTCTCCCTCGCCATGCTGACAGTCTGCTTTTCTTTGGACTCTGACCTGTGATCACTTCTGTTAACACATTCTACCTATAAGGGGGCAAGTCAGTCCCATCAGCTCCACCCATGGACACAACCGAAACAAGTACATTATTAACTGCTGTGTAAATATACCAGGTGTACACCACCCAAAAACAGTGTTTTCATAAACGTATCTCCAAATTCTCCTTTCAGCCAGACCCACCTCTGCTAGCTTTACTCTCCCTTGCTGAAACTGATGGCAGGCTGAGGGGAGGACATTGCGGCACAGAGGGGGTCTGTGCCGCCATTGGATGCATGTTGCGATCATTCTTTGAATGCGAACGTCAGACATACAATATTGGGCCTTAACGTGTGCATTATGGCGCTATATAAATAATAATAATAATTATCTGCATATCCTATACTGTCAGTTCGTTTTACACAATCATTGCCATCACTCTTAAACCCCAGTTCGCTCCGTGAAGGTAGAAAGGAAATACAATGGAGTTGCAGTTGGGGTACTGAAAGAGGTGCACATTCCAAGTGAATGCTATGGCACTGGGGTTAGGTGTGTAGAGGGGGTGATTATAAAAGACACAGCTACTGGCAGCCTTGGATGTTTTCCTTCCAAAATGCTATTAACATACACATTCTTTTAATATTTCTCCCACAATACCATGTTCATATGAGATCATCCTGCAGAAACACCCATCACTCTCAGGCCTCACTTCACAATCAACTCAGTGAAGACTGCATTTACCATCCTGCAGAAACACCCATCACTCTCAGGCCTCACTTCACAATCAACTCAGTGAAGACTGCATTTACCATCCTGCAGAAACACCCATCTAAAGGGATTCTAAAGGGCCGTCAAAGCAGTGTTTGCGTTTCTGGGTGGCCTTCCCAGACCTCCTGAATCCCTGAGCTAAATTCCGTTCTGACTCCACCGGTGACCAGAACTGGTCTGAAGGAGTATTAATTAAGGGAGTCTTATCACTAGGATTTAAACTGCTTCTGGCCTGAGCCACAGACTTTGCAATTGTTTCTTTCATGGAAGTCATTGCAGTATAAATTGCAGATGAAATTGATTTGTGAACGGATAAGTCTACAATATTTTGTAAAGAATCCTCAGTGAGGATTTCACAGTCATGAGTAGCATCAGGTTTTGGTGACGAAGAAGGAGTTTGTCTAATTTCTTTAGAATTCATGGTTCAATATTGCAACAAATTGTAATTTGTAATCAGTGGCGGCTCTAGACTTTATGAGGCCTTCGGCGAAACTCAAACAAGAGGCCCCCCCACTAACACTCATAGTAAAAAAAAAAAACATATAGGGGTTGCATCGTGTGTATAATGAGCTGTAGTTATAATGTATGACAGGCTTGCAGCGCTGTATTCACTGTTGGGGTGAGTGTGGCACGGTTGAAGGAGAAAGTGTGACAGGGCGAGGGGAGGTGAAAGTGACAGGATGAGGGAGGGTTATGTGCAGGGCCGGATTAACATAGGGGCTGATGGAGCTGCAGCTCCAGGCCCAGGCCCATGGAATAGGCCCATTGATTTAAAAAAAAAAAAAAAAAAAAACATTTTTTTTCACACACTACTCTTAGGGATTCCACCTGGCTTTTATTTTATTGGCACAGCCAGTATTTGAGGCTGCCTGGCTGGTGCCAATATTACAGTGATACTGGCAATACAAATGCTGGTATTTTTCTCAGTATAAACAAGAGATTACTCTGCAATACCAGCACTGGCCAGTAGGGGTCACTGTGTGTGTGGAGACAGGCAGGGATAGGAAGTTCCAGCATATCCCTCCCTGCCTATCTATACTCACTGATCGCAGGGGGTGCAGCTACAGAGAGTCCAGACAGCAACTCCCACCCTGTAGAGACAGCCTACAGCTCAGAGAAGTAAGGGATGGGGGGAAAGGCTGCAAGGAGACATGGGGACACTGAGACACTAAGGGAAATTGGGAGACATTGCTTGGCAGACACTGAGACACTAAGGGACACTGGGAACATTATGACACTTTGAGACACTAAGGAGACATTTGGGAACATTGTAGCAGACACTGAGACACTAAGGGGCACTGGGAGACATTGTGAAAAGCGAACACTTTGCAAGACACACTAAGGGACATTGGGAGACATTATGGCAGACACAGACACTAAGGGGCACTGGGAGACATTATGGCAGACACTGGGACACTATGGGACACTGGGAGACATTATGGCAGACACTGAGACACTAAGGGACACTGGGAGACATTATGGCAGACACTGAGGCACTAAGGGACATTGGGAGACATTATGGCAGACACTGCAACACTAAGGGACAGTGGGAAACATTATGGCAGACACTGAGACACTAAGGGACACTGGGAGACATTATGGCAGACACTGAGACACTAATGGACACTGGGAGACATTATGGCAGACACTGAGACACTAAGGGACACTGGGAGACATTATGGCAGACACTGAAACACTAAGGGACACTGGGAGACATTATGGCAGACACTGAGACACTAAGGGACACTGGGAGACATTATGGCAGACACTGAAACACTAAGGGACACTGGGGAGACATTATAGGGAACACGGAGACACTAAGGGACATTGGGAGACATTATGGCAGACACTGAAACACTAAGGGACATTGGGAGACATTATGGCAGACACTGAGACACTAAGGGGCACTGGAAGACATTATGGCAGACACAGACACTAAGAGACACTGGGAGACATTATGGCAGACACTGAGACACTAAGGGACATTGGGAGATATTATGGCAGACACTGACACTAAGGGACACTGGGAGACATTATGGCAGACACTGAGACACTAAGGGACATTGGGAGACATTATGGCAGACACTGAGACACTAAGGGACATTGGGAGACATTATGGCAGACACTGAGACACCAAGGGACATTGGGAGACAATATGGCAGACACTGAGACACCAAGGGACACTGGGAGACATTATGGCAGACACTGAGACACTAAGGGACACTGGGAGACATTATGGCAGACACTGAGACACTAAGGGACACTGGGAGACATTATGGCAGACACAGAGACACTAAGGGACACTGGGAGACATTATGGCAGACACACAGAGACACTAAGGGACACTGGGGAACATTATGGCAGACACAGAGACACTAAAAAGGGGACACTGGGAGACATTATGGCAGACACTGAGACACTAAGGGGAGCACTGGGGAGACATTATGGCAGACACAGAGACACTAAGGGACATTGGGAGACATTATGGCAGACACTGGGACACTAAGGGACATTGGGAGACATTATGGCAGACACTGGAACACTAAGGGACATTGGGAGACATTATGGCAGACACTGAGACACTAAGGGACACTGGGAGACATTATGGCAGACACTGAGACACTAAAGGACATTGGGAGACACTGAGACACTAAGGGACATTGGGAAACATTATGGCAGACACTGAGACACTAAGGGACATTGGGAAACATTATGGCAGACACTGGGACACTAAGGGACATTGGGAGACATTATGGCAGACACTGAGACACTAAGGGACACTGGGAGACATTATGGCAGACACTGAGACATTAAGGGACACTGGGAGACATTATGACAGACAATGAGACACTAAGGGACACTGGGAGACATTATGGCAGACACTGAGACACTAAGGGACACTGGGAGACATTATGGCAGACACTGAGACACTAAGGGACATTGGGAGACATTATGGCAGACACTGAGACACTAAGGGACATTGGGAGACATTATGGCAGTCACTGACACTAAGGGACACTGGGAGACATTATGGCAGACACTGAGACACTAAGGGACACTGGGACACATTATGGCAGACACAGAGACACTAAGGGACACTGGGAGACATTATGGCAGACACTGGGACACTAAGGGATGCTGGGAGACATGGCAGACACTGAGACACTAAGGGACACTGGGACACATTATGGCAGACACAGAGACACTAAGGGGCACTGGGAGACATTATGGCAGACACTAGGACACTAAGGGACACTGGGAGACATGGCAGACACTGAGACACTAAGGGACACTGGGACACATTATGGCAGACACAGAGACACTAAGGGGCACTGGGAGACATTATGGCAGACACTGGGAGACATGGGGCATTGAGACACTAAGGGGCACTGGGAGACATGGGGCACTGAGACACTGATACATAGGAACACTGAGACCTGGAGTATTCGACACATGGGGGAACTGGGAGAAATGGGGGCACTGGGAGGAATCCATCTATACAGCGGAATCAAACTAAGTAGTTTTTTGGTGATTTTACAGCATTTTCTCTTATGTCACTCCTTGTGATTTACATCATGTGATGTCACCCATACATATTTAATTATACAAATTAGTAAGGCCGGTATGTTTTTCCAAGAAAGGTGGCAACCCTAACTACTTTTCACATACTCTTACTTAAGTATGGAAAGTATGGAAACTTAAGAGGGATGTATGGGAACAAAACTTGTGTGGACTGGCTGACCATGAATTTAGTTAAAGGGACACTATAGTCACCAGAACAACTACAGCTTATTGAATTTGTTCTGGTGAGAAGAATCATTACCGTCAGGCTTTTTGCTGTAAACACTGCTTTTCAGAGAAAATGCAGTGTTTACATTACATCCTAGTGATAACTTAACTGGCCACTCCTTAGATGACTGTTAGAGATCCTTCCTGGATCATGGTTGCCTAAAATGCATCCAAACATTCAGTGTCTCCTCCCTCTGCATGCAGACATTGAACTTTCCTCATAGAGATTCATTAATTAAATTCATCTATATAAGGAGATGCTGATTGGCCAGGGCTGTGTTTGAATCATGCTGGCTCTGACCCTGATCTGCCTCTTTGTCAGTCTCAGCCAATTCTATGGGGAAGCACTGTGATTGGATCAGGCCACCACTTCTAATGATGTCAGCAGACTGCTTGTTTTTATGAGTCTAACAGCATGCAGAGTTACAGCTTGAGGCTTGAATATAGTAAGATTTTGCTATATTTATGGAGGCATGAGGGGCCCAGGGGGGCTAGATGGTGGTGTTAATACTATAGGGTCATGAATTCATGTTTGTGTTCCTGACCCTATGGTGATCCTTTAAGGTAATGCTGACTTTGGTCTCTCTAACACTGTGGCATGTTCCCTTTCTTCTACACTCACTGCATACAGCTTTTCTCTGTCCCAGACCATATACCAGGAGCTTCTACCTGCTAGTAAGAAGGTAAGGAGACAAGTGGACCAGCGAGTGCTAGGGGACAGTCCTTAGAAAGCGTTGAGTGAGCGCATCATTAGATGCATTTATGCCAAGCTCAGGGTGCTGTCTGCATATTATGCCCTTAGTTGGCCAGCTGCATGATTGGCACACAGCCTGACATGCATTCATGCCAGGCTGGCCTTCTAATTCTTTGAGCAGACATGTCCTCTTTTTGGGCATGTTCGCCCCTTTTGGCAGGTTACGTGATTTGTGTCAGTGGCACACCCTTTTACCATGCCCATTGACTTCCTGCCTGACTGGACACTGCTGTTAGGGGTTATGGATTTACTTGAAAGATGAAAACATAAATTAGAGAAAGATTAGCCTAGGGTATGTGTTTTCTTATAGCTGCTGTTTTCTTTCTCTCCAGCACCATCTCCATCAGATACATGATGCTTTGGAGTGTTTTACTGTTTTTGGTCGATATGATTCTGTAATTAGGCCCGTCATAATTGTCAGCACCAGGCCCACTGGGCTCTTAATCTGGCCCTGGGGAAGTTGTGTGTTAGTCTCTGGGCGGATAGAAGTATGGTCTTCGTATGTGCGCCCCTGTGCATCGGCGGTGCCTGGTCGTTTTTTCCAGTCGCTGTGGAGGTCTATTGTTGGCAGCTTGCAGGGGGTCATCCTGTATCGGAATGTTCCATTCCATTAAGAGTCTTTTTCCTGTTTCAGGGTCGGGAATCGGGTTGTCCACTCCGTTTCGCTTGACTAATAGTTTAGTTGGGAAGGCCCACTTGTACTGGACATTCGCCGCTCTCAGTGCTGTCGTAATGTGGGCAAATGTGCGCCTTTTAATCATCGTGGAGGAAGACAGGTCTATAAATAGTTTGACCTGTTAGAATTGACCCGGGAGCTGGCCTTGGCTTCTGGAGGCCTGCATTATGCGATCTTTGGTTGTGAAGTAATGTACCCGGGTGATGATGTCCCTCGGTATAGTCGTTGGTAGATGTTTGGGTTTCGGAAGGCGATGTGTGCGGTCCAGTAACATCTCGTTTTCTGTCAGGGTTGGAATGTAAGCCTTGAAAAGTTCTTGTACGTATTGGGTAAGGTTCTGCGGACCAACCGACTCCGGAATTCCCCGGATTCTTATATTATTACGGCGGTCGCGATCCTCTGCCACCTTTGCTTCCAAATTTTGTAGCCTTAAAAGTAAAGCTGAATGTGCCTCTGCTATACTATTTTGTGCTTCTGTGATTTCTTCAGTTCTCTCCTCTAAGCGGGATGTTCTGTCTCCCAGAGATTGAATGTCAGATCTGATATCAGTTGCAATCTGCTTTAAGTCAGATTTGAAATTATTTTTAAGGTCAAGGAGCATGTTGTGCAGTGTTTCGTTGGTAACAGGCGTTTGTGTGTTATCTGTGGTGAGATTGAGCTCACCTGCATCTGCACATGAGGCTGGGGACTCAGGCCTGTCGGCGCCATCTTGGATTCCTGACGCATTTTCCGTCGACGTTGTTATGTACATTTGGAGCGTTTTTTGTTTATATTTCTTGGCTACTTTGGTGGACATCGTGTTAGGAAGGTGGTGCCCCGGTGTGGCCGTGTTTGCCAGTCGGTAAATCACTGTTTATCACGCTGTGTGCACTCGTTTGCGGGAGAGCTCCCAGCTCAGGCGTCCGCTCTCATCCGCCGCTAAGCCACACCACGCAAGATGTATTTTTTAAACCCCCTATTGCAAGGGTAGCCAAAAGATAGATCCACATCTATCTTTCAAATCCCACAATGCTTTGCCAGCTCATGACCTATCATGTGCCCATCCTTGAATGGTTGCATTTAGCACTGTGCAGTGTTTGTGTGTTTGAATGTAAGACTGTTTTTGTATGTATACATACGTATGTACACACAAACTGCTTCATTAAGCAAAAGTTGTTTTGGTGACTTTAGTGTCCCTTTAAGTTCTCGACAATTCTCACTTTAGTCTACTGTATGTCATGTATAACCACTCATCAAAACTCAATGTTTATTGATGAAACTCTAGATTTGGTCCCTAAGGTACTTTTACTTTAAAGACAATGTGGCATTTATAAAAAAACAAAAAACAGTCTGTGACGCTCATTTTAGAAGTGGTGTAACCACATAAAAATGGATAGGCCTTAATAGAAAATATCACACAACATCTATCAATATACATTATTGTAAGTTGTATCTATATACCCAACTAAAAAGGGGTATTGCTATTTTCTACAAAAGCTGCAATCCCACCATAGGCTACCTAACTTATAAAGGGGTATGCAGCAAACTCTGTTCCCAAGTACCCCATCTTGACCAGAGAAGGATTACAGGTGTTCTATAGTGTAAAGAATACAAAGTTGTATTCCTTACACTATAGTTCCCTCTGGCCCCTTCTTACTCGTGCCCCCATAGCACAGAAAGGGTTAAAAAAAACTTTTGACACATATCCAATTCCAGCGGCAAACGTATTATGCCCACCCCATATGAGAGCATTGATGCAATGCTTTCCTATGGGGATTTTACTGACACTGGATAACGTCCAATGTCAGTTAGGTGACCAAAAGTCTGGTAAGATCCCAGAAGTGCCTCTAGTGGCTGCCTGATTGACAGCCACTAGAGGCAGTCTTAGTCCTGCAATGTAATCATTGCAGTTTCTCTAAAACTGCAATGTTTTACATTGCAGGACTAAGGGTTGACAGGGACACTGCACCAACACCACTTTAATGAGCTGAAGTGGTCTGGGTACCTATAGTGTTCCTTTAAGAAGATCAGGCAGGTTACCAGTTTGGAAATGACCTTTCCTTTAATTATTCTCATAGGGATGGATTGTGGGGCCCAGAAAATTCATGATTCTGGGGTACCTCTCTAACCTGGGAGGCCGCCTAAGGTTGCCTTATGGTTTATTCTGCTCTGCTCCCGACAGTAACCTTGTTTAGCACTATACTAGTGATCATTCTTTTTATATGAGGCAGTTGTTTTGAGTAAAGTAAATTGTAAAAAATAAAGCAATAACCAATAAAAATAAAAAACACTATGATCCTTCTTACCCCTCCACTAACTGTAGAGATCTGGGGCTGTGGTGTTCCACATATAGGAATCTAACAATACCTATGCAACTAAGTCATATATTTTTTTAGAATAAACGTTACTGTTCATGGATGTATGATCAAATTTCTAGTAAAATCAAAAATCTAGTAAAGCACAAATTGTGACGACATTTCTTTTTTTTGTTTAACAATAATCAGGAAAAAAATAGTTAAATAGAAGAATAACCCTGAATGTGACATATTTAATTTTCGATGTAGTAGGAAGTGGTGGGTCCTCAATTCCTTTCACCACTTCTTTGCATTTTTGGTTGAAGATGGATGGGGACAATATGTCGAGTAAGTTAGTGGAATATGTAGGACTGGAGCACTTAAACCAACCATAGAAGTGAGCCTCTGAGATTGAAAAAATAATACATCTGATTGGCTAGTTGATGCAACTGGGAGGCCAATGAATCTATGCTGCTTAAAGTGGTAAGGCTACTATATATCCTGATTTGATATCAAGGCTGCAATGTAGTTGCGGTGATGATCACTCAATTCGGACCTAATCCAAGTATAGGTAACTGTTTTGAGGGTATAGATGCAATAAGACGAGAAGCAGAATTTCAATAAGAGGTGAGTTTTATGTCTTGATGGTATATCTAGAACCAGGTGAGATTTTGGAAAAATCTGAAATAGTACTTATGTACCTGCCAATACTGTGTTGCATCATCAAATTGGTTTGATGGCTTGCTTTTAAGAGAGATTATTATAGCAAAATGTTGAGGAATTTGAAATAAATACAAAGAGGATGTATATGACTAATAAATTATGTGAGCTCGGAAGATAAAGGATATTTAGGTATTAAGTATATTTAGGTATTATTATTTCTTTAAAGAGCTATGCAGGAGGAGAATGAGATAGCTTGGCATCTGCAGCCTTAGAGTTCTCGAATATTCAGCTAGACAACTTGAAACACAAGTAGTGACAGACTGGGAACAGATGTTTTAGTCTGGAAGAGGACTTCATCAACCTTGACAAAGGTCTGTCAGACACCAAAACATTGAATTAGCAAGGAAGAATAAATTATTTTCATTACCGCACTTGATGGACTCATTATTTTCTGCATCTATTTAAAACACTTTATAGTCATGTACATCTCAGCGACTGTATAAGTGATTATGTTACATGATTATGTGTGTGTTCCACTGTTATATATTTATTTATTTTTGAATGATGAACATACTTATTTGCCAGATTTTGATTTAATTATATTTATTTTTTAGTTAGTATTGGTACCTAATTTTGGAATCGCTCCATTATTGCCCATATAACATACATGCAGCTGCAAAACCACAAATTCATTGAAAAGGCCACGGGCAAGAAATGCAGTTGATGTAGCAATTGCGCATGTATCAACCTGCCTACAAATACAGTGAGGCATGCCACAATTTTTAGGATGTTGGTAATCATTAATTACTGTTGGATACTACGCAAAACATTTTAGGAGGTGAACATGCTGAACTGCTTACATTCACTGTGAAAATAATCCTTAGAGGGATACTCTAAGCATCAACTCAACTTTAGCTGATTAAGCAGTTTGGGTGTATAGATCATGACCCTCACTGTTCAATTCTCTGACATTTAATAGTTAAATCACTTAACTACTGCACAGATGGTACCTAGTTTTAGAAGTTTTTTCTCCTGCTCTGTAAATGGAACTTTAATCACACACATGAGGCTCCTGTGAGGTCTACGAGGCTACTGACAGAGTAGGACAGGTATAGGCAACCTTCGGCACTACAGATGCTTTGGACTACACCTCCCATAATGTTTTGCCAGCATTACGGGTGTAAGAGCATTACGGGGGATGTAGTCCAAAACATCTGGAGTGCCGAACGTTGTCTATCCCTGGAGTAGGAGATAATAAATTCTAGAGTAAACAGACTGTGCACTACAGGGTACTAAAACATCTAGGTTGTTTATTCAGGAAGTGTTTGGGAAGGCTGAGCAGGTCACATGCAGGGATGTGTGACTAGGGCAGTATAGAAAGTGATCTAACTGCTAAATGGCAGTGTTTTGAGCTATGAGACTGCAGGGGTATGATCTTTACACCAAGATTCATTAATGCTTCATTAAACTAAAGTGGTTTTGGTTTCTATAATTTCCCTTTAAAGAAACAAAATAAATCTTGAAATAACATATCTTTCCATTTGTATGTTTGATAAAAAAACTTTGATGGAACTATGACTAAACTCAATTTGTTTATCTATAATTTTAAGTACAAATTTTAGAGAAACGAGCTGTTGACACATTTCATTTGGGGGTGAGGGGACTTAACATTTAGGGATGCATTTGAATTTCACTTCCTCATTCATGCAAATAGGTTTCCTAAAAATATAATACTTAACACAGATAAGTTTCTAATGTACCTGAAGTGCAAGTATTATAATTTTTGTGAAAGATGTTCTATTTACTTTTATGCATTCAATGTACCTATCTATATACTTGAAAGGAATATTTAACATACACAACAGCATATTAGATTTTTTTACATAAAGTATTGGTAAAATTTTATATTGTTTCCACTTGTGAAAATGTTTCTATAAGTGGTTTTACATTGCCTACAATTTCAAGTATTAATACATATGAAAATAGTACATATTTATAGAGACTCAACGTGGAATTTCACAAGAACACAAGTGATAAGCAGATGGTAGTTCACACTAAAATATCTCTTATATACTGTTAGCACCATCAGTTTATTGCAGTGCCTGTCAGTTAATTAACAATCCTTATTGCGTTATCATACAATGCTATTTGATGAGTATCCCTATTTTGCCTGATCTATGTCACACCTCTGACTCCCAGCTGATTCTTCTTCGTGTCTCAGAAGTATAATTACCTCTTGTACTTTCACTTCTAAATGTCCCTGGTAGTGAAGTGGTGGGGTACTTATTTCTGGTCCCCTGTGTGTAGCATGCAGTCCTTCCTAAAGATGCTATGGTTCTGGTAGTGTGATAGTCTCTGTGGGTAACACTAGGAGGCACTGAGAGTTTGGAGACCGTTCCTCTATAACATGCCTCAGCGTGGGGGGATTTATGTATATCAGGCGTGAGCCATCTCCCCCCTCTGCAGTCACTGGGATGAATTTTACTTATACAAACATGGCAAACTTGTGAAGATGGTAGAGAGCACTGGTGGAGTCTTTCACAATTTAAATGCTGTCCTGAATCCTCGCTGCAATGAGAATCACTAAAAAGAAGTGGCTTGATTGTGTAACCTACATGGGGTGGTTGGTACCATGTTTTGCAGTGTGGCGGTGCCCCTGTCTGAATCAAAATAGGAGGTCTTTGTAATGATTTCCATCTTTTACCCATGACTTGGGAAGAATGGTGGTGTTCTCGGCCAGGTATCAATCCAATCTCTCGAATACTTCCATTCTGTGAAATGGTGGAAACTCGATCAGTTGTCTCCTGAGGAAGGAGACAATTCACCTCTATAGACTGTTGATCACTATCTTGCAGCAGAGGTTTTGTATTCTGACAAAATTGTGATGAATAAGGGAGAGGGAAGTGTAGAGTTGGTGTGTGGGTTGTTGGTTTTACCGGTTTAATCAGGGTCTCACTGTGAGAGCCAGTGGTTTGTAATAATTGCTGAGGTTCCTGCAGAGTGAAAGCAGTCTGCAGATTCTCACTCCTTTTTCTCCACGTGCGAAGAGCATGAGAAGCATTCTCAAGAGATCCTTCCACCCTGGAAGATGACACAAGATTTTTAGCTGTTTCCAGAACTCTCAGAACATTCACTGGAACTGGTGTTCCTGTAACATCAGGGTCTGGGCATCTAAGGCCACATGATGGACTTTGAACACCCCGGAAGCAACTGTAAATTCCCTGTGAGAAAAAGAGTGACAAAGAAGGAAAAATTAAGCAAAAGAAACAACAAAATAAAAAACTAAACACTAAATATATTAGGCCTACTGGGAGAATTAATAATTATCAAGAAAGATAGATCTCTGAAAGCAGATCTTTTGACCACCACAAGGAAATAGCTTCATAGGCTGAAGAAAAAAAGGTGTTCAGCCTTCAAGTTCAGCCTTCCTTACATCTGTATTTTGCTGTTGATCCAAAAGAAAGAAAAATTACCCAGTTTGAATCACTTCTAATTTTGCAACAAACTAGTAAAGAAAAATCCCTTTTGACCCTTTTTGAACCATTACTCAATGCTTTCCTATGGACGTCCAGCGTGAGTTCAATGTGATTTTCACATTGAGGATCGCGGAAGGGTCTCTAGCCACTAGAGGCTGGATTAACTCTCAATGTAAACATAGCAGTTTCTCTGAAACTGCTATGTTTTCAGCTGCAGGGTTAAAACTAGGGGGAGCTAGCACCCAGACCACTTCATTGAGCTGAAGTGGTCTGGGTGCCTATAGGGGTCCTTTAAACATATGCACCAGGGGAGGGCTGGCAGCCTTAGGCCTGGGGGGCAAAACCAATCAAGTGGCCCATTTCACCACCAAATCAGTTCACCATCCATGCCCACCTTTTCCTGGTTTTAGAACGGATATTGATGTTAGGCTAATCAGTAGCTCTTTGCCATACCCGCTGCTTCACGACTCTGACTTTCAATGTTGTCAGAGAGCAGGCTGAGAATCTCTGAGCCTGTGCTCTGACTCACTAACTGAGCGCCGGAACCACGAGGGAGAGGATATGATCTGACTGCACCTACTGCCGGTGCGCACCAGTGGACCACCAGCGAATCGTTTAAATTGAATATGCTGGTGTACCCAACTTGTGAGCTGTGTTGGCCGCCGAGCGCCTCTGTTGTCATGGCACCCTGCGTGACCGCACAGCGTGCACACCCCAACGGCTGGCCCTGCTGACACACACTGATGTTACTACTTAGAAATCCCTCAATATTAATACAGACATCAGAGTAAACACCAATAAACTGTGGAAACAGAGCTGATCCCCCCAAATTTATAAAGATTTGCTTAGTGGATTTGTTGTAAGATTAAATCATGCCTCCTCTCTCTCTCCCATGCGCTGCTCTGTAGGCTGGGAGGAAGTGAAGAGTAATCACATTCTCCCAGCACAGTGCCACCGGTGGCTGCATGGGGAACAGCTGGTTAATGTAATGCTTGCAGGACAGCCAGCTGCCGCAGAACCTCTTTGTTCCCATCTCTGTAAAGGGCTCAAGGCACTGCATGTTGTGAGTGTGAGCCACTGTAAATTGGGGCAGAGGGCACTTGCACTGCGGTAAAGACGGGTCTGGGCAGGAGGAGAGTGCAGTGCAATCAGTGCACTCCCCTCCTGTGGGTCACCAGTAGACTGGTGCACCTGACCAGGATCAGAGCCGGTGCAAGGATTTTTGCCGCCCTAGACAAAAGAAAAATTTGCCGCCCCCCCCATGTGACATCACAATGCCCCAACCATATGATCTGCCATATGAACTAACGCAGTGCTGCACACAGTGTGTGTTTACATTAAAAAGCCTGCAGGGACCGGCTATAGATACCAGAACCACTTAATTAAGCTATAGTGTCCCTTTAATGAGGTAAATTATAGATTAGTGTCACTAATAATATACTAGATTGCCTACTTACAACCAGATGAGGATGATGATGGGCTGCAGTTTGGCTCTACTGGTCTGGTGTAGAACAGGATATCTGGAGGCTGTTTGCAACTGTGGTCACAAAATTCAATGTTCTGGGAGAATTGGAAGCAGCTCCATTTTTTGGGGGCCCCTTACACAGCTCAAGGTCTGGGCCCCAGGGCCTGACGGTGAGTATGCGCACAAGGCCCACTCATAAATCCACTTATATGTTCCACCCACCCATGACTTCGCTCACAGGGAGTGGAGTGTGTAGGGGATGTGTTATGTGTTATTGTAGAGGATCTTATATGTGTGCTTATGGTATGTAGTGTATAGGGATACCAGTTTGTGTAGGTGATGCAGTGTGTTTGTGTGTAGTGGAAGCAGTGTGTATTTGTGTATAAGGGATGTATTATGTGTTTCTGGTTGTGCGTAAGGGATGCATTGTGTGAATTTGTGTTTGTATGCATAAGGGATGCAAGGTGTGTGTCTGCATGTGTGTGCATTGAGTGTAAGAGATGCATTGTGTTTCTGTGTGTATGTAAGAAAAGCAATGTGTGTGTTTGCATGTGTGTGTAAGGGTTTGCATTGTGTGTTTCTGTGTATGTGTGCAGAGGATGCATTGTCTTTGTGTGTAAGGGTTGCATTGTGTGTGTAATGGATGCATTGTGTGTTTCTCTGTGTGTAAGGGAAGCATGTTGTGTTTCTGTGTGTGTAGGGATGCACTGTGTGTTTCTGTGTATGTATAGGGATGCATTGTGTGTGTGTGTGCACGTAGTGTGAAAGAGCTCCCTGTCTTGCCCCCTGTCCTATAGAGCTGTCCCTTCTGTCCCTTAGAGCTCTCCCCTGCCCCTTAGTGGTCTCTCCTCTCCCCCACCCTCCCCTAGCAGTCTCTTTTCACAGACATCCCTGTGCTCTTCTCATCCCCCCCTCCACCCTCCCTGTGTTCTTCTCACTCCCCCCCTCCATGTGTTCTCACCCCCCTTGTTCTTCTTACTCCCCCACCTGTTCTTCTTATCCCCCTTCTTCTTCTTACTCCCCCCTTCTTCTTATTGTTCCACTCTTCTTCTTACTCCCCCCTTCTTCTTCTTACTCCCCCCTTCTTCTTACCCCCTCTTCTTCTTACCCCCCTCTTCTTCTTCTTACTCCCCTCTTCTTTTTCTTACTCCCCTTCTTCTTCTTCCCCCTCCTACTTCTTCTTACTCCTCCTGCTTCTTCTTCTCCCCTTCTTCTTACCCCTCTTCTTCTTACCCCCCCTCTTCTCTTCTTCTTCTTACCCCTTCTTCTTCTTCTTACCCCCTCTTCTTCTTCTTACTCCCCACTCTTCTTCTTCTTACTCCCCCCTTCTTCTTCTTACCCCCTCTTTTTCTTATCTCCCCTCTTTCTTAGGAGAGAAGCAACTGCAGCCGCCTGAGGCTCTTAACAGAGCGCTCAGGCGGCTACAGCATTTAAAGGGCCGGCCCTGCAGCGGCCGGTCTTAAAATAATTTAGGGCGGCCTCGGGGGCAATTGCCTCCCTTCCCCCCAGCCCAGCCCGCCCCTGATCTGCACAGACTCTGATAAAACCACATATTCAGGCAGAGAATTCCAAATACTTATTGTTTTTAAGGTTAAAAAAAAAATTACCTTGTTGTGTCTAAAGTGTTTTCTTTCTTTCTTTTTTTCTAAAAACACCTTGGACACAACTGGGTGAGCCCTAAGTCCTGGACTGTTAGGAGGTACTTGAGGACTGGGTTAGGAACCACTGCCTTAGACTAAATTTAATTTTTTCCAGTCTAAATGCATGACCTTGAGTCCTATGTATAGTTCTGTTCGTGAATAGATTTCCAGACAATGGTTTGTATTGACCCCAGATGTATTTGTATAATGTTATCATATCCCTTCTCAGGCAACATTTTTCTAAATTAAAGAGTTTTAAATTTGTTAACCTTTCTTCATAGCTAAAATGCTTCATTCCTTTTTATTAATTTTGTAGCCGGCCTCTGCACTTCTTCTAGTACCATAATATCTTTCTTTAGAACATGTGCCCAAAATTGCACAGCATATTTAAGATGTGGTCTTACTAGTGATTTATAAAGAGGCAAAATTATATTTTCATCCTGGGAATTAATGCACCTATTATACTTAGGGCCTTCCTGGCCTTAGCAAATGCAGATTGAAATTGCATATTGTTGCCTAGTTTGTTGTCTAAAATAGTTCCCAAATCCATCTCATCTGTTGTTATCCCTAATTCACTACAATGTAGAATGTTAGTTGTGTTCCTTTATACACCATTTTACACCATTGTCAAAGTGATCTGGTGTATCTAATAGCCCCAAATGGCTTTCTAACTATTGGCAGACAGAATCATTTCTTTTTTTTTTCTCACACTGTCAGGTAGATCTTAATTTATCATTGTCACGCTCTCATTCTACCTCTTCTGAACAAAAATATTTAACACTACTCTGGTTGCACCTAGACTGTCTTTTATTTCTTGTCTAAATATTACAATTAAGCAACATAAAATTGCTATCCTCCCATTCTCACCCGGCTGATGCCCAGAAGTCCGTGCTCCCCACATTTGCTCTTCACACAGTGTCTCATCCTCCAGTACACCAAGTGCTCCCAGGAAAAGACCAGAAGACTTAGTCCCATTGCCACCAGTAGCATGTAAAAGACTCCAGCCATGTTATCAATGTCCAACTTGCTGCTCACTGCCTCATTCTTCTCATTTTGACAGATTCCAGATAACCATACAGTCTCCAGCCTCTGAGTGTCTCCTACAAGAAAAATCAGCTAATCACTCACCCAAAATCTATCACGGCAACAAATACGAGAACGGAATCCAGGTTTAACAGTGAAAACATTAGTCTTGAAAGAAAAAACTACACAACTATAACATTTACAGAAAATTAGTGTATATATTATAGTAGAATTACACACCATCTCCCAGGAACTGCAGCAAAGCCAAGTCAATGGGACGCTTCCAGCGTGAATTCTTTTGTAGTGCAATCCCATATCCTGTAGTTGCAAAAACCTTCCCACTTCCAATAGTTACCAGCTTGCACCCTTCATCCTTTCCTGCCATATAATTTAGTACTGCAGCATCATAAATGAAGGCATCCAACTTCCTGGAGGCAGTAGAGAAAGAAGAAAGTAATATCAAGGACAGTGGACATTATCCCATTCTATAATTTGTTTGATATCATTGAGATGTAACGTCATTTTCGATACTTGCATATCCTGTTTGTGTATGAATAATTCCTTAAATGGATGTTATAGCTCAATGAAGTGGTCTGGGTACCATGTCCCTGTCTGCTTAACCCTGCAACTGAAAACATTGCTGTTTTATAGGAAAGGCAATGTTTATAATGTAAGGTTAACATGCCTCTAGAGTCTGTATTCCTGAAATCCACTAGAGGCACTTCCACCCCAATAGTCAAGTTAAACTCGGTTATTCAATAAGATGGTCTCATAGAGTCTTTTGCTGCACATGTGCATGAGCCTCTCAATGAAACATTAAATTGACTAATATCATCTACATGATCGTGCACATGATCGTGAGCATGATCGTGGAGACCAGCAGAACAAGGGCTCACGGGGAGGAGGAACCTAAATAGATGTCATGACACTAAAGTGTTAGAAGTACATGTTTGTAATTCTAATGGTATAGTCTTCATTTAATGTTTTGCAGTATAACAAAAAAAATATTCTTAGCTTCTTGATGTGTTGTTTTTGTTGGATGACCTTTAACCCCTTAAGGACCAAACTTCTGGAATAAAAGGGAATCATTACATGTCACACATGTCATGTGTCCTTAAGGGGTTAATTTGATCTAGTACCATACATTTTGACTTCCCACCCTGGCCACGTCAAGGTATCTGTTTTATCGGTCCTAATTACATTATACACTAAAAATACAAATTTAAGAAAATGCATAATTACTGGTATGTCTCTCTTTTCTACTAGACTTTAACCACTTCTCAAGGTTCAGTTTTGGATACATGTACTGGTGACTTAACTTGAACACATAACATTAATAATTGAACAATTACAGAATTCATATAGATAGATACAGCTATAAGTGAAGATCATTAAGATATACAGGTAATTTTAAAGTCAATACTATGATCTTTTTCCAAATCTCTTAAAGTGAACCTGTCATGACAGATATAGGTTTGCAGTTCTAACCATCTGGCTTGACTCATATTACACAATTAAGTGTTTCTTCCTTTAATACTATTAAAAGCTCATATTTTAATTTATTTCCATTTCCTGTGTCTCCCTCTGAAAGCATCAATTATGTTTTTAGTGGGTGCTACACTTGCTGTATACCTGTATACCCCTGTTTGGGAAATATATGGAAGCATAGACTTGCACACTTTATGTTGGCTTTATTTAGATAAAATGTATATGTTCTCTCTCTCCATTATCAGATAGTCTGTCCAAATGTGCTACAATAAATCATTATGGCTGTTTCTCTCCTTTCTCATGCTGCTCTCACACAGAGCCTCCCCCTCTTCCCTAATTCCACGTGAGGAGAGTTTCTCTGATGATAAACATGCAGAGCACAGACTTCTTATCGCTGTGCTAATTGGGACAGGTTCTGCACAGATAGAACTGACTGAGAGATGGTGGGAAGTGGCTGTTTTTTTAACCTCCGATTTTAGAAGAATCTAAACATTTGATAGAAATTCAGCTAGTACAATGTATAGATGAAATTGGATTTTCTGTCATTTAGGATTAAGTTATATTTGTCATAGCAGGTACTCTTTAATGTGATATAGTACTTTGCAAATTATTTGGGGCATTATTTATGGTTAGATGAATTCATGTTTGGTATAGAAAAAGACTTTCACCCACAGTATTCACGTGTGGATTTAATCATGGGCTTGATTTAGTAACTGTCAATAAGGCTGCTCCAGAACCATGCCTGGAGAACCGAATGAAATCCTGAAAAGCCCTGGGTCTCATGTTAGCACCGTTTCATCATTAACCACTGGCCCCCTGTAATACTGAGAGAGAAATAATACCTTTAATGACATGATAGTGTAGTAAGTAGTGTAGCATAATAAATGAATGCTAAATAGGATTGGTGATTGTGGCAACTTAGACCTGTTTTTTAAAGCGCTGGATTTAACTTGAAGTATCAGGCAATGTTGGGTAATTATGAGCAAACACTTTTTCTGTTTTCTACAGAAAATAAAGTGTGTGTCTACAGTGCAATTATTCCTAGCTCAAGAGTAATATATTAGCAGTACATTGGTAAACGTGTTGCTAAAGTAATACAGAACATCAGTACATAGCTATAACAAGCAGTGATATAAAGAAGAATGGAGAGAATAGTACACCCCAGGGAATACAGACACCTCCAGAACATGCTGATACATTAGTTCGGTTAGTGAATGGGGTATTTGTCAGTATTTGACATACAGAATATATCTAAAAAAGGCCACATTTATACAAGTTTACAATCCAAGAGGAAGAAGAGCAAGTCAGAGAGGTGGAGGGATTGATGTATGTCTGTGTCGAAATAAGCTAGTAGCGTGTAGACCGTTGTAGGAGAGAGACTGAGCTGGGCTATGGAAGTGAGGGAACTGCAGAGGGCACTTCTAATTGGAGAAGTGTCCCCCAGGAAGATGGTAGGATTTCCTAAAGAGGTGTGTTTTCAGTAACTTCTTAAATGGCTGGAGGCTAGAGAAGAGTCTACCGGTACGGAGTAAGGAATTCCATGGGAATGGGGTACTTTTTAACTACTTTTTCACATGTCAATACATATTTTGTTAGGATTAATTGATTGTAATTGTAATGGGGCAGCCTTTGAAAAATTCTGCAGATGAGAGTAAGCAGCAGAATGTGTAGATAAGTAGACAATTGGCGAAGGTCTCTTGCTGAGCAAAGGGAATGAGAAGGGGTATATAAGTGAGTAAAGAGGTAATGTACTGGGGAGTATAATTATTGAGCGCTTTGTAGGTTAGCGTTAACAGTTGGAATTGCATCCTGAAAGATTCAGGAAGCCAACCAGTGTTAATTTTGGTCGGCAAATTTAAATTTAGTTTTAGTCATAATCTTTTGACTAAAAAGCCATTTTAGTTTTAGTCATATTTTAGTCATCTGAATTGTTTTAGTTTTCGTCTAGTTTTAGTCGACTAAATCTTCAGTAGGTTTTAGTCAACACAACTAAAATCTAATGGGTTTAGTTAAAGTCTCTGTCTCTTTTGCCCCTTCTCCAGCCCCTCCTTGTCTCTGTCTCCCCCTTGCTTTCCATGTGTCTCATTTCCTCAGCCCCCCATTTGTCTCATTACTTCTCCTCCCTCCACCATGTGTTTTACCCGCCAGTGTTCATTTTACAGGCAAAGTTCAATTTAGTTTTTTAGTCAACTGAAGTGTTTAAGTGTTAGTCGTCTAAAATCCGACTAAAATTGTTGGTCGACAAAATTAACACTTAAGCCAATATAATGATAAGAAAAGGTGTGGGTGTGGGTGTAGCCGACAGAAGTGCCAAGCCTGCCATTAGAAATCTCAGGGCCCCTTAAAAAAAGTGGCTGGGACCCATGACTACATACACGATCCTTGCCACACACATTAGCAGGTATACCCATACACTCTTCCAGGATACATATATATACACAATTCCAGATACACATACACTGTCACTAGTAATGGTCTTTAGTAATGGCAGTTTCAGTGGAATGGAGGAAGCAGAAACCAGACTTCAGAATGTCAAGGATAGAGTGAGCATTGCTTAAGTAAGAAAGACATGTAAACACAAGCCACATAAATTTATATCAAGAACTTAGATTATTTTCCTGCAGAATCAGGCACAGACAGCATAGAACTGAGGGAGGCAACCTTCGGCATTCCAGATGTTGTGGACTACAACCCCCATAATGCTCTAACATCCATAATGCTGGCAAAGCATCATGGAAGGTGTAGTCCAAAACATCTGGAGTGCCAAAGGTTGGCTATGCCTGGTATAGAATCAAGCTTTTCATATTCAAATGGTATATAAAATAGTAATATTCTGACTACAACAGATGCTATAGAAATATTTATGTATAAAATATACAGGGTCTCTGTACAGTTCTGATGCAATAATTCCATTTATATGTTTTCTTGTTAACAGCAGTCAAATAGAATAACAAGACCAATATTTTTAAAACAATGTAAAAAAGCTGCTAAATAGTCAAACCCTGTATTTGTGCAGAAAATTTAGCTTTGATAACTGAGCAATAAAAATAAAAATAAATTATATCTGAAAGTGGAACATTCTTATACAGCAATACATTAAGCATATAAACTTTCCCGTCCGCTATGTTGCGCAGTACGAGTATATTTACCCTGTCTTCAGACTGGCAAGGGCATCTTCCACAGAGCGTTGGTTGTAGCGAACCATGTAGGCATGCATGTCAGGGTAGTTGCTGCGAATATTTCTCTCTGTGCTGCCATTAGGGACTGTCCCAAATCGAAATGGAGGATAATGCTCTTGGGGCTTCTGGAACTTTTGGAATTAAAAAAATATTGTTATCTCAAATTACTTGTTATAAATCCCCCCATTCTTAATGGAATTTTTTTTTTTTTTTTTTTTACTTATACTTATTTATAAAGTCTTCATTTATTATAGCTTAGTTGTGCCTAATTTTATATTTACATTACTAAATACACATTTATGACTACAGCTAACTCGTTCTTTGTGTTTGAGCAGCCATCTTGGACATCTGAAACCATTCAGAGGATCTATGAATATGGCTGCTACCATGGTGCCATGGTTAGTTTGGAGATGCACAAAAAATAAATATTAACCTATGTGACAATACACACAAAGACAATTTTTTCTACAAACATTTATTCACAAAAAAATAATAAAATCTTTATATATACACAGTTGGCCAAAATTCAGAGTAAGTTTTAAGGAGTCAATAGCTTCTTATTATTGAATCAATTTCAAAGATATTACATACAATGAATGCTTAACATATTGAGAGGACATCTTTTAAATGAGTTCCATTTGCCGCCTCGTAAAATGTCAGTTCTTTCAATTGTATTGTTTATAACACTAGTTAATGTTTAAGGCTCTAGCACTGGAATTTCTGCACGGATATTCTCCTTGAGCTGATCAAGTGTACGCAGTTCGTTCACGTACACCCGCTTCTTCAGATAACCCCACAGGAAGTAATCGGGAGCTGAAAGGTTGGGCGAACGTGGCGGCCAATTAACCGGGGAATTTCCTGAAATTACAGTTGTCTCCATTTTGAAAATAAAATTCCTCTCGTGAAATTACCCATAATGAATCTCCCAAGACTCAGTTATAATATATATCTGCAACAAGTATGTATATATGTGTGTATAATGTATATGTTAATATAATGTATATGTTAATATTAAAATACTATGCATATTACATATAATATTTTATTTCTGAATAATATTTTCATACCCTAACCATTTTACCACAGCAGAGTCTTGTTTTACACATAAATCGCGAAACACCTCTCACCATCCCTTGGTCTCTCCAAGTAGCTGAACAATGTGTGCATTCTTTCAACGACATTTATAAATCGTTATATTTCTATTTAGAACAGTACCTTGACACTCCAATATCACCTATATCTACCACAACAGCAATATAATAATTTTACAGCTTGCACATAACTGCATTAGTTTTATATGGAGCAACGGCAGACACAATAACTGCAATCTGTTCAGGTCGAGTTATTAACTGAATGTGTTAGTGAAAGTTCCTTTACTGACATAATGGAGGGCTCTAAGTTTTTCTCCCCTTAGCGACTTAATGCCACATTTTTTTCCCCATTGTTTTTCTTTCTGTTGGGTTGATTCATAAAACACGGAACTGAAGAGAATTGAAATATTAATTTTAGGTCAAAAATGTTCAGTGAAACACATCTGTTTTTATTAATATGACTGTTTCTCTTTAATATACTACAATACTCTTGTCAATTCTACACAATTCTCAATTAAGTTAAAGGATTACTCCAAACATCATAACCAATACAGCCCGCTGTGGAGGTTATGATGCCAGGAGTACGGTTTGACATCTTAACTCGTCCAGCCAGAGGACTGATCTTCTTTAAAGCTGGCTGTGACATGTATCTGGATTCTGCAGAGCTAGATGCCAGTCCTGACAGCCAAACATTGGCTGAGAGCATCAGCTGACCACTTTCAGCCAATGAGTGTAGATATGCCCAAATTTTAGATTAGTCAGCCTAGAACTCTAGTTCCTGGCTGGCAGATTAAATCCCAGTGATGCCACTGGAGGTGGAGTTATATCTCCAGCAGCAGAGGGGTTAATCTCCATATGGGCAGCGTTTCATAGCGAAATGCAGACTCGAAGCACCATGATCTCTTCATATCACTGGAGTTGTCATGGTACTTGGGGTAACCCTTTAATAAACACAATAGTCTTTGTTTTGCATTTTTGCATCCTTATGTCATTTAAATTTATAATTTATTGAGAAAAAACTCCCAACATACTTTTCCATTTACCTTTACTCTTTGTCATTTTCTACGTGTTATCATCACAAAATTAAACCCCTTTGCAAACTTCAATGATTTGAAAAAGGTTAATGATAAATTAAAAGTAACCGGCAAATAACCTTTTCTGGCTCACAAAAGGTACTCAAGAAGAATATAAATATATTTTCCCACTAACACAATCGCAATTCTGTAAAACTGTCATAATGATACAACATGACTTTAAAAGGATCGTAAAGATTTTGTCATGGAAACAGAACTTATTTTTACGTTGTCCAACTTTTTATTTTTTTACAATTATTAGTGTACATTATCCTTTAATTTATTAACTATCATGTCAGGAAAAATAAAAACTTCCTAAAAAATCATGAAAAAACACAGAACCTGCTTAATTACACTTATTTATGGTCTCCTCTGACATGCACTAAGTACCTAAAAATCCTCTGACAAATATTTAAGGATGCCCTGTCATCTTTATTAATCCCTAAGAACACTTTAATTTAATGGTCACCAGAAACACTAAATTAACTGGCCAGATTTTTTGCTTTTTTTTGGTTTCTGATCACATCTAAAAAGAAATTCCACTAACCACCATCTTAAGTGCCCCATTTGGATACCTCTGCCCTTCTGATGACGTTTGTGCTGTAAATTCCACTTCACAGTGCATTTAAGTAGAATTATCTCTGGTAAGAACCAAGGAGAGGTAAGTATTATGTTGTACATAGAACAAAGCACCATTGAGGTCTACTACTCCCATGCATTGAGCTGGGCTGGGATAAGTGATTATACACCACTTCTTTCTGGCACACACTTACTGGGAGAGAGAAGGGGGAGAGATAGAGATGGTGAGAAGTGGACAGTTGTGAAAGAGAGCCAACCAGCTCCCATCTGCCCCAGTCAGCTTCCGCTGGACCTCCGTATGCTTCCATCTACCTCATGAAGCTCCCCCTGGACCCCAGGGGAAGCCACCCACCTGCAGCCACTAGATATGGAACCAAGGAAGTGGCTAAATAGTGTGTTTATCTATGTGTGGGATCTGTATGTGAAAATCTATGAAACTACGTATGCGTACATGCCCACATTCACACACAGATACTACGTGTGCAAAAATAGAAACATAGAATGTGATGGCAGATAAAAACCATTCGGCCCATCTAATCTGCCAGTTTTCTAAATACTTTCTTTAGTCCCTAGCCTTATCTTATAGTTAGGATAGCCTTATGCCTATCCCACGCATGCTTAAACTCCTTCACTATGTTAACCTGTAACACTTCAGCTGGAAGGCTATTCCATGCATCCACTACCCTCTCAGTAAAGTAATACTTCCTGATATTATTTGTAAACCTTTGCCCCTCTAATTTAAGACTAGGTCCTCTTGTTGTGGTAGGTTTTCTTCTTTTAACCCCTTAAGGACACATGACATGTGTGACATGTCATGATTCCCTTTTATTCACAAAGTCTGTTCTCCATACGAATGGGCTCCACGGCATGGCTATCTGGGGTATGGTTTATTCGTTCACAAAGTACCGAACAGATGGACATTCGCGGATTTCTACCGAAGGAGAAGGGAGGTCGGCAGCTTCAACGGTGTTCGTGCCAAAAAGTGTCCGTTTTGAGTTCCGTGAGTTGGCCGTTGAACACCACTGAGCTTTCGTGGATTTAAAATGGCCACGACCTCGTGTTTGGTATACGAATGGCGGCCACCCAGCTACAGCATCAATTAGGAGGTGTCTGTGGTTAACCTCAACTTTCTAATGGGGCCAAGAGGTTAACCAGCAGCACACTTCTCTACTGGGTGGTCGGCCGTTTGAGAGTTTTATTCGGTAGTTAAAAAGGGAACGGTATAGAGTCCACATGAACGGGAAAACACGAATTAAATTAACAAATGAAGAATAAGTCTCTGTAAGTTTAAGACAGAGAGATCTGTCACAAGTATCAATATCCTTCTGAAGATATGGTCTCCAGTACTGCGTACAATACTCCAAGTGAGGTCTCACCAGTGTTCTGCTAATACCTCTCCCTATACAACCAAGAATTCTGCTAGCATTTCCTGCGGCTCTATTACATTGTCTGCCTACTGTAACAAACCACCTCTTTTACAGGTAGGATTGTCACCCATCTTGCAGTGACCACAGCCTTCTAGGGTATACAAAGTCCAGGACACCTTCAGCTCAGTTTTCCTTTTTATTCAGTAAGAAAGCAGGTACTTTAAATAATAACAAAAACAAACAAAATCCCTTGCTCTTACTTGAGCTCTTACTAGACAGTAATTGCTATCTGCAATTGGGTGGCTTTCCCACTTACCAATTTTCCAAACAAAAGCAATGTCTTTGCAATAAACACAATCTCTCCTAGCTGTCTTTTTCTCCCTCACTCTGCAGCAGGCTGCTCTCTTCTTTTAAAGGCCTGTCTACTAATTGAGTAGCTACAGGTGAGTGCCAATTAGTTAACTCTTAAAATCAGATCCAAGCTGTGGTCTGTTATACAGCAACTAGTGCTGTTGGAGCATTGGCCCACCCTGCTCTCCAAATACTCCGCCCCAGGGACCCATACCATGTTTTGCAGAGCATCAGCTATGCATATTGCAAACTTTAACATCTCTCCCTGGGGCATTTAACTGAAAAATCCTCTGGTTGCTGTTTAGCAAATCAGGTCTGATGTATCTCCCATCAACCACTATTCCACCTTTACGCTCACATATCCTCCCCCCCAGCTCATACCCATGGGTTTGAGCGACCATGGAAATCAGGGAGTGAACCCTCGAAAGCCCATCAGCATTACCTTGTTGCAGACCAGCCCTGTGTTCCACAGTGAAAATAAAAGATTGCAAACTCAAAAACCATCTGGTTACTCTGGAGTTACTTTCCCTGTTCTGATACATCCACGTCAGAGGAGCATGGTCCGTTATCAATCGGAACTTTCTGCCTAGTAGGTAGTATTTAAGAGAGTCTAATGCCCACTTAATAGCAAGACACTCTTTTTCAACAATAGAGTAGTTCTTCTCATGTGGGTTTAACTTTCTGCTCAAAAAGAAAACAGGGTGTTCTTCACCCTGGTATTCCTGTGAAAGAACAGCCCCCAAGCCCACATCAGAAGCATCTGTCTGAACTATAAAATCCCTGGAAAAATCTGGGGTCACCAAGACAGGATGGCTACAGATAGCTTCCTTCAGACTCTTAAAAGCCTTTTCTGCCTCAGGGCACCATTTAACTATGACTGGGGATTTTGCTTTAATAAGGTCTGTTAGGGGTGCAGCAATGGTAGCAAAATCTGGAATGAACCGCCTATAATATCCAATTAAACCCAAAAATGCCTTTACTTGTTTCTTTGTAAGGGGCTGTGGCCATTTTTGTATGGCTTCTACTTTGGCTTCCTGTGGTTTAACCAAACCCCTCCCAATAGAATAACCTAAGTACTTAGCTTCCTCTAAACCAATCGTACACTTGGAAGGATTGGCAGTTAAGCCTGCTGAGCGGATAGCATCAAGTACCGCTTGAACTTTAGGGAGGTGGGATTCCCAGTCTGCACTGTGGATGACGACATCATCCAAGTATGCTGCAGCATAACGAACATGAGGTTTAAGAATTCTGTCCATCATTCGTTGGAATGTGGCAGGTGCCCCATGTAACCCAAATGGCAATACAGTGTACTGAAACAGGCCACTGGGTGTTGAAAAGGCTGTCTTTTCTTTGGCTCTTTCAGTGAGAGGGACCTGCCAGTAACCCTTTGTTAAATCCAAGGTTGTTAGATAACGAGCTTTGCCCAGTCTTTCTATTAACTCATCAACTCTTGGCATTGGGTAAGCATCAAATTTTGAGATGGCGTTTAACTTGCGGTAGTCATTGCAGAACCTCCATGTGCCATCAGGTTTTGGCACCAATACAATAGGACTACTCCAGTTACTCTGGGATTCTTCAATGACTCCAAGTTTTAACATGCTCTCAACCTCTAAGTTTATAACCTCCCTCCGGGCCTCAGGAATTCTATAGGGTTTGAGGTTAACTCTTTTCCCTGGTTCGGTTATTATGTCATGTTTAATCACTTTAGTCTTTCCTGGAACTACCGAGAAAACATCCCTATTTCTTCTGATGAAATCTCTGACCTCTTGCTTTTGATGTACAGACAGAGTCTCAGATACGTTCACCTCTGGCTCTACTATAGGAGGTTCTGAAGGTTTTAAAGCAACCAGGACCTCCCTGTCCTTCCATGGCTTTAACAGATTTATATGATACAACTGTTCAGGCTTTCTTCTTCCTGGTTGTCTGACTTTATAATTGACATCACTCACTTTCTCTATTATTTCATAGGGTCCATGCCAAGTCGCAAGGAACTTATTCTCCACAGTAGGGACCAGAACCAATACCCTGTCTCCAGGTTGGAACACTCTGACTCTAGCATTACGGTTATAGCTGTTTTTCTGAGCCTGCTGGGCTTCCAGCATGTGTTCCCTGACAATAGGCATGATGGTGGCCATTCTATCCTGCATTTGAGCTATATGCTCAATTACACTCCTGTGAGGAGTAGTCTCCTGTTCCCAGGTCTCCTTAGCAATATCCAATATTCCCCTGGGATGTCTTCCATATAATAATTCAAAAGGAGAGAAGCCCGTGGAGGCCTGTGGAACTTCCCTAATGGAAAACAGTAGATATGGCAATAAAAAATCCCAATTTCTTCCATCTGCATCAATTACCTTGCGTAGCATACTCTTAAGGGTTTTGTTGAACCTCTCTACTAAACCATCAGTCTGTGGGTGATATACTGAGGTCTTAAGATGTTTAACCTGCAAGAGCCTGCACAACTCTTTTGTGACTCTGGACATGAACGGGGTCCCCTGGTCTGTCAGTATTTCTTTAGGGATACCCACCCTACTGAACATCAACATAAGTTCCTTAGCTATTAACTTTGCAGAGGTATTACGCAAGGGAATGGCCTCAGGGTAGCGAGTTGCATAGTCCAAGATGACTAATATATATTGGTGTCCCCTAGCGGACTTTACCAGTGGCCCCACTAAGTCCATAGCGATCCTTTCAAAAGGCACATCAATTATGGGTAAGGGTACAAGTGGACTACGAAAAGTCTTGAAAGGAGCCCTGTACTGGCACTCAGGACATGAGGAGCAATAGTTTGTAATAGCAGCAAACACTCCAGGCCAGTAAAACCTTCTAAGGACTCTCTCTCTAGTTTTTTCGACTCCCAAGTGTCCCCCTAATATGTGGCTGTGAGCCAACTTTAGCACTATATTCTGGTAAGTCTGAGGAACCAACAGCTGCTTAATGATGTCTGAATCCTTTTTTTCTACACGGTAAATTAGGTCATTTTGTACTTCAAAATAGGGGAACGGCAGTGCTTCTCCTGGCTGATTAGCAACCCCGTTTACAACTTTAATATCATTTCTAGCTGTCACTAAAGTGGGATCTTCCCACTGAGCGCTTTTAAAGTTACCTGGACTAATTCCAATATCAATTAAGTCCTTATCCTTGTCTGCAGTATTAGTAGGCTCCTCACTAGTTTGAGCTGGGTTATCTCCTATTAATACTGGTTTAGGGCAGTATTTTTTCTTTTTTCTTATTTTTCCGTCACAGTGGTCAAAACCCAAGTCAATATCGGAAAAAGGGAACACATTATCCTCGACAGACTGACTCATTTCTGATAAATTTTGGTCTGTCTTTTGTAAAGCTGCCCATAATTTTAGAAAATGAGGAAAGTCTCTACCGATCACTACCTCATGGGCTAATCTAGGTACTACACCCACTCGGTACTTTAAATCCCCATACTGGGTTCCAATATTTACTTCCGCAGTGGGGTATTCCTTTTTATCACCATGAACACAGATAATGCCTATTTTCTGTACATGATCAGGTTTTACACAAGGTATTATAGACTCTGCTACCAACGTAACCATACTACCTGAATCAAGTAATGCTTTAGACATTTTTCCATTCACAGTTACACAGCATTTATGAGCGTTATTATCATAGTCATTGTTAACAGTACCATAACAATTGAGCAAAAATGAACGTGTTCCCTCATCTTTGCCCATATTGCATTCCATAGGTTCATCCTTAAATGGACAGTCTTTGGCCATATGACCATCCTCTTTGCACTTGAAACATTTGACAGTACAATCTGACCACCAATTAGTTCCTTTCCCAGGCCTATTAGACCTGGATGCCCCCTGGTGTTTTGTGTATAGAGCTGCAGTTCTTCAGCTCCCCTTAAACCTTGAACAGTCTTACCAGGTCTTGCAGAATCTTGGGGCTTAGGATTGCGAGGGTTTGCCTGTGAAGTAGGACATAGCAGTTCTCCTGCAGCCACATATCTTTCCACCAAGGCAATCAGTTGGTCAGCTGTATGGGGGTCACTTTGGCTGACCCAGCGACGCAGGGAAGCTGGTAAACCACGCAAAAACCGGTCCATTACTAAGGTTTCCACAATGTGGCTAGCTGAATGGATTTCAGGTTGTAACCATTTCCGTGCAAGGTGTATGAGGTCAAACATTTGGGAACGTGCGGCTTTGTCTGAAGAATATGACCATGAGTGGAACCTTTGGGCACGTACTGCAGAGGTTACACCCAGTCGTGCCAAGATTTCAGCTTTCAATTTGCTGTAGATACTTGCATCGGCTGGTTCTAGGTCATAATATGCCTTCTGCGGCTCTCCACTTAGGAACGGTGCCAGTATGCTTGCCCACTCACCAGCCGGCCATCCCTCCCTCTCAGCAGTGCGCTCAAATGCCAGAAGGTACGCCTCAACATCATCTGATGCGGTCATTTTCTGAAGATAGTGGCTCGCCCGAATCACCTTTGGCCCCTGGTATCTTCCATCAGGGTCTCCATTCAGTTTTTCAGAGATAGCTTGGATTTCCTGTTGTAGTCCCTGGGTGACTTTTTGCTGCTCCTCACGGGCTACTTTAAACATCTCCGCTTGTGTCACAACAAGCTGTTTCACCAAGGACTCAGTGCACTCCATTTGTGTTTTGGCCAGGACTTTAGCACACTCTGCCTGGGCCAGCACCAGTTGTTGCAGGGCTGCACTGTTTTCTGCAGCTCTCCTGTTAGTCTCCTGTTGCACAGAGGTGGATTGGATCAGAGCCTTGATAACATCCTCCATGTTGAGCTTTAAATGACTTCTACCCTCAGGCTTACGTGGCTGCCCGCATTCTCCACCATATGTAACAAACCACCTCTTTTACAGGTAGGATTGTCACCGATCTTGCAGTAACCACAGCCTTCTAGGGTATACAAAGTCCAGGACACCTTCAGCTCAGTTTTCCTTTTTATTCAGTAAGAAAGCAGGTACTTTAAATAATAACAAAAACAAACAAAATCCCTTGCTCTTACTTGAGCTCTTACTAGACAGTAATTGCTATCTGCAATTGGGTGGCTTTCCCACTTACCAATTTTCCAAACAAAAGCAATGTCTTTGCAATAAACACAATCTCTCCTAGCTGTCTTTTTCTCCCTCACTCTGCAGCAGGCTGCTCTCTTCTTTTAAAGGCCTGTCTACTAATTGAGTAGCTACAGGTGAGTGCCAATTAGTTAACTCTTAAAATCAGATCCAAGCTGTGGTCTGTTATACAGCAACTAGTGCTGTTGGAGCATTGGCCCACCCTGCTCTCCAAATACTCCGCCCCAGGGACCCATACCATGTTTTGCAGAGCATCAGCTATGCATATTGCAAACTTTAACATCTCTCCCTGGGGCATTTAACTGAAAAATCCTCTGGTTGCTGTTTAGCAAATCAGGTCTGATGTATCTCCCATCAACCACTATTCCACCTTTACGCTCACACTACCTTTAAGTCATCAGAAATAATCACCCCTAAATCCCTTTCCTCAGATGTTGAGGTTAGGACTCTATAAAATATTCTGTACTCTGCCCCTGGGTTTTTACATCCAAGAAGCATTATCTTGGACTTCTCCACATTTAATGTCAGTTTTCACAACTCTTTTTTGACCATTTTTCTAGTTTACTTAAATCATTTGCCATTTGGCTTATCCCTCCTGGAACATCAACCCTGTTACATATCTTAGTATCATCAGCAAAAAGGCATGCCTTACCATCAAGACCTTCTGCAATATCACTAATAAAAATATTAAAGAAAATGGGTCCAAGTACAGATCCCTGAGGTACCCCACTGGTGACAAGCCCAAGCTTCGAATGTACTCCATTGACTACAACCCTCTGTTGCCTGTCACTCAGCCACTGCCTTACCCATTCAACAATATTGGAATCCAAACTTAAAGATTGCAATTTATTGATAAGCCTTCTATGTGCAACAGTGTCAAAAGCCTTACTGAAATCTAGGTAAGCAATGTCTACTGCACCACCCTGATCTATTATTTTAAAATATATCCCACACTCACTTATAGCTGCTCTGCACAAAGATAACCTCACATTCACACAGAGCTATATTTGAAAAATACACTCCACATTCACACACACTACCACATGGTACAAATATATTCACACACATAAAAATGGCACCCTGTATTTATAAACACTTTGTCAATTGCACTCTATACAAATCATTGTAGTTCAATATAGAGAAATATATTTACACTTACACTTATAGCTGGTGTAATATTTACACTTATTTTAACTTGTCCACTTGCTGTTGGCAGAGACGGATTTCCCATTAGGCAGACTATGTGCCTGTCTGCAGGCACATGACCTGTGGTGGACACTTGATTTTTGGAGTTTAAGTGAGCTGATAGGGGTGGATAAATACCTGGAGCCTTGGCCAGTGTCTTTTGTAATCCTGTCGCCCTCCTATGCTTTATAGCAGAGCTGTAAGTACAGTAATAGAAGGTGTAAAACTGGGGCTGTTCCAGCTCCTCCAGTGTCTGTGTGTGAGGCTGGACAGGAAGTGGAAGGGATCACTTCCCATCTGCCCACTAACAGCCTCTCATACAGGAAATGCCTCGCAAGAGGAGCAGGGACATCACTAATTGATACACACTGTATAACAGCTACTAGAGATCACCAATTAACTATAGGAGGCTGACTGGACTACAGGCAAGATAGGAGAATGAGTACATTGTAAATACCACTTTAAACACCACGTGCCATGAACATCTTTTTTTCTATAATTCTACATTTAACCCCATCCAAAACAAACACTTCCTTAGTGCCAAATTGAAAAACTTGAGCCCCCAGTTTAAAAAAAATCTTTTTACCTTAATTCAAAATGTAATTTCTTTAAAAAGTAAATGCTCCATTTTCCACAATAGTAAATGTAACCCAGCGCTATCTATAAAAACAATATTCCTTAACATCATTAGTTCTCTACTGTTTAGGAGCTAAACTATTTTATGTATGCACCCCAAGGCTTTCAACCACACATCCTGAAGTGATATGTCAATAGCTTCCTAGTTTAGGTTCAACATCAGTAACATATTCAACTATAGGACTTACATTGGAAGTGAACAGGGTCCTTCTTATCTTACTGCTCTGAGGAATTAGTCCTTCGCAGGTCTGTAAATTGTCTGCTAAAGCATTGCTACCTACCAGCAGCCTCCTGTGTGAGATAAGATAAATATCTCACATGAAGAATGAAGAAACCACCAAAGCCTCTAGAGATCAACCCAAGAAGAAAATGGAATTATTCAAAGCCTGCAGTTTTGGAACCTTTTACATTATTGTAATTATTATTGTAAATACATTTTGTCATATAATTTTAAAAGTTACAGAATGTATTTAATTATAGATTATGTATTTTTTTATATAAATATTTATTTATTGTATGTATTATAGCTTCTAAATGTGTATGGGGCACATTTACTAAAATAATATTCGAGTAAGTGTTCATAATATGTTATATTAAGCACCCTGTATCCACAATGCTTTTCTATATAGAGTCTTTGATTGAAAAGAGCACAAATAAAGGATGTTCATACTGGGAAAAAAAAAGCAAGTTTTGCAGCTAAGAAAATTGATAAATTAAGGCAATTGGGAAATTATTTTTTGAAAATAGTAAAGTACTGTTAATGCATCACAAAATATGTATTTCATAACCTAGAAGACCTTTTATTGAACACTAATTAACCTTTGTTACCCATGAGCAATCTAAATAATTCCTTCAACCATTTCAAAGTACTTGATTCACAATACTCACAAAACACCTGAAAAAAAAGTTAGAATAAAACTTTTTTATTTTTTAAAATGGCATACTCCCTACAATAATAAAATATGTGAGGGGGTATATGTCAGTTTAATAGTGGTTAAATATGGGATTATATCATGGGAGTAAGAAGTTAAGGGTTGCCTAAGCTTTCACTTACCTGATCCAAAGGTAACGTAAAATATGTATTAAAAATCAACCTCTCTAGGTTGCACCTGAAGGTCCAACTTTGTGGGTCTTGAGAAAGTATACAAAATGTTATATCTGCCTTATTGGTGATTCTGGAGCCTCTGGAAGCATTTTATTTCTACTCATCCTTTAGTTGTTTCATGAAGAAGTTACTAAGAGAGTTTTAAACAAGTCTACGCATGGGAGAAAACATTTTAAATTACATTTTTTGCTGCAACATTTGTTATTTAAAATTGTTGTTATTACACTTAAAATTAACGTTTGTTTAACTAATTATGGCCTCAAATTTATTTTATTGGAAACACTTTTAAAATGTTTTTTTTTCTTCAAATTATTGAAATATAAAAAGAAAATTATATTGAAATGTTTTTCAAGATTTTAAATCATTTGAAAAGCGTATTCAAAAATATTAAATCAAGGCCCAAGCAAACAATAGCACAACTTTATTCTTGGATTTTGACCAGATGGATGTTCCTTCTGGAATATATTTTTTTAAACCTTATTTTCAGGCACATTTTGGGTCAGGCGGACTGGTTTTCCCTCTTGAAGAGCACATGCTTGTAATTGAAGTGCAGGCTTTTGATCTTTCAGAGGATTGTGTCATCCATTAATATGGCACTTAAAATGAATTGAGTCAATTCTATTCTATTCTCTTTTACTTTTTGCGCGTTTATGATTCCCTGTAATTGTGTTTCCCACGTATATCTTATGAACATATTTCAGTCATTAAAGCGGCACTGTCATGCCGAACTTACCTTTCCTCAATCTCTTCCTCTTCTCCCCTTCTCTCAGGATCTGTTATTCTTTTCTTCCTGTCTTCTTTAGTTTTCTTTAAAATCATAAGACAAAGTAGAGACTCTTTGCCTTATGGGGGATTCCTCCGCTTGACCAGCTCTGACCAGCGGAGGAGCAAAGTGTGCTTCATTTCCGCTGGTCAGAGCAATTTTCCCATGATCCCTAGCTTTCCTCAGTGTTCCCACAATGCTTCCTGTCATTTTACACAAAACTGCCGAATTGCGTTCTAACTGAATGACAACAGTATGTTCGTTTCTTTTAGAATGCAATTCGGCACTTTATTCGGATCAGAATTTCATTCGAATGAATGAAACTCGGATCCTATTCTTGCTGTGGCTGCATCTTGCAGCCGCTTAGTAGATAACTCCCTAATTCCCATGGTATCAGGGAGTTATCTACTAAAAGGCTGAAAGACCTAAATTGGTCTTTCAGCCAACTTTACTAATACCAAGTAAAAATTACTTGGTATTAGTAAGTAATATGCCCCTACTCGCTATACTGCGAGTAGGGGCATTTCTGGTAAACAGTGAGCAGCCTGTGGCTGCTCACTGTAAAAAAAACTATTGGCCCCCACCCCTAAACGACGGGTGGGGGCCCTAAAGTAAAATAAGGGGGGAGACCAAATGACCTACTGCCCCCCCCGGCCCCCACCCCTGGGCGGCGGGTGGGGGCCATAGTGAGAATGAGGGGGGGGACCTACTGTCCCCCCCGGCCCCCACCCCTGGGCGGCGGGTGGGGGCAATAATGAGGGGGGGACCTACTGCCCCCCCCGGCCCCCACCCCTGGGCGGCGGGTGGGGGCCATAGTGAGAATGAGGGGGGGGACCTACTGCCCCCCCCGGCCCCCACCCCTGGGCGGCGGGTGGGGGCCATAATGAGAATGGGGGGGACCTACTGCCCCCCCCGGCAACCACCCCCAGGCGGCGGGTTGGGGCCATAATGAGAATGGGGGGGACCTACTGCCCCCCCAGCCCCCACCCCTGGGCAGCGGGTGGGGGCCATAATGAGAATGGGGGGGGACCTACTGCCCCCCCCGGCCCCCACCCCTGGGCGGCGGGTGGGGGCCATGAAGATAATGAGGGGGGGGACCTACTGTCCTCCCCCCCCCCGCCCCCACCCCTGGGCGGCGGGTGGGGGCCCTAAGTCAATTACCCCCCCCCCAAGGTGACTAGGGGTCCCCAAGCCCCTAGTCACCCACCCCCACCCAAAAAAAAACAAGTCCCTACCTACCCCCCTCACCCTAAAAAATAGTGAGGGGGGGATAAAATAACTAACCTGTAAAATAAAATTAAACTTACCATTCGACGTCTTCTTTTTTCTCAAATCTTCTTTTTCAGCCCCAAAAAAGGCCAAATAAAAAACCATCATAACCGTCGAATTGAAAATAAAATAAAAATCCCGAGCGCAAAAAAAAAAACCCGACGAAAAAAAAAAAAACCCGAGCGCAAAAAAATAATCCATCTTCACCCATGGAGGGCTCCGCGCAGACTGAGCTCCGCAGAGCGGGGGAAGGCTTATAAAGCCTTGCCCCGCCCTGCAATTAGGCTAAGAACACTCTGATTGGTGGGTTTAAGCCAATCAGAGTGTTCTTTGTCATTTTACACAGCGTGGGAAAATTCAAAAGAACTTTCCCACGCTGTGTAAAATGACACAGAGCCACAGGCATTTTGGAGATTTTTATCTCCCTTGTGCTATTATGGGGGTCATATTGACCCCCATAGAGTGAGAGGGGGACCTGGGGGGGGGTTATGAAGTGGTGGGGAGCACTGCTCCCTGCCGCTTCTATAGTTACATATTACAAGGAGGGAGCTGCGTGCCGGTAGCTCCCTCCTTGTAATAACCTGCACGAACAAACTAACACTGATACATTGTGTTTGTTTGTTTGTTCGGCTGATATTTCTATTCACTCATTCGTCTGTCTGATGAATGAGTGAATAGATGAAATTCCCGTTCGCATGTCCAGGTGTTTCACTGGGCATGTGCGGGAATCTCACAGTCTGTCTAGTGTGGGCTGATGACGTGTCCCTGAGGGACTTCACCTACCCACACAAAGATGGCTGCGCCCTGAATATAGATCGGGGCAGAAAATAAGGATTAAAAAATAGGTAATGTGGGGGGCTTAGGGGCATTTGGGGGTGACTAGTGAGTCAATTGGATGTAGTGGAGGCGGGAGAGGGGTTAAAAAAAAAACAGAATTCGGCATGACAGTGCCGCTTTAAGAACATAATCACCGGTGAATATTATTGGCTCTGAAAACAAATTCACTGGCAGTAAGATCATTCGATGTGTATCATATTTCCTTGTCATCAGCTTCCCTTTTCTGGTACAGTATGACAAATATGGGAAAAAAATGTGCCAAGGTGCAGCTAAAGGGACACCATAGTCACCACAACAACCACAGCTTATTGTATTTATTCAGGCAAGACAGTGTTTAAATTACGGCCTAGGGATATCTCCACTCGCCACTCCTCATATGGCTACTACAGGTGCTTCCTGGGTCAGTACTGCACAATGTGCGGCACTGCCATTCAGTGTATGGAGACACTGAACTTTCCTCATAGAGATGCATTGATTCAATTCACCTCTATGAGGAGATGCTGATTGGCCAGGGCTGTGTTTGACTTGTGCAATCTCTGCCCCTGAACTGCCTCCTTGACAGTCTCAGACAATCCTATGTGAAAGCATTGTTACTGGCTCAGAGAATCACTTCTGATGATGTAAGCTAAGCAGGCAGATCAGGCAGAGTAAGCAGTAGCAGACATGAATAAAAGTAAGATTTTACTATTCTTAAGGGGGGAAGTGGGACAGGGAGCCTAGATGGTGGTTTTAACCATATAGTGTTCCTTTAAGTTATTTTGGTCCTCACAGAAAAAACTAAATATCCACTGGTGAGGACATATAAGGCTGTGGCATTTAGCTTAATTTATTTTCTAATGTTGCGCCTCCTGTATGAAGTAAGCACACACACCTGTAGCAAACTCACAGAGGCGGTCTCACTCCTTTGGCCTCGAAAGGAGCACTAACAGTCATAACACTCAAACCAGTGGTAGGCAACCTTTGTTCTAGACCAGGTGTAGGCAACCTTTGGCACTCCAGATGTTTTGGACTAAATCTCACATAATACTCTTAGAGCCATAATGCTGACAAAGCATCAGGGGACATGTAGTCCACAACCTCTGGAGTGCCGAAGGTTGGCTACCCCTGGTCTAGAACAAATTCTTTGAGTGCTATGACTGTTAGTGCTCCTTTTAGTGGAGAAAGATGTGCAGCAGATGTGCAGTGAGCAAAAGCACACACATTGTGTTCCATCACCATGCCAATAAGATCTAAAACAACTGGTAAGCAGCCCGGTTGATAGAAATATTAAAACAATGTTAGAGGGCAGAGGACAATCCTACAGTCCGAAAAAAATATTTGGGGGAGGTGGGTAAAATGTCAGAATTAACTGAGGATGTAATTTGGGGAAATAATAAATTGGCATGGCCAACTGGGATGTAAGGAACACCACAAGCACCATAACCACCACAGTGTGCCAGGAGTATATTGGTTCCACTACAGTGGCAGTAGTTAGGCCATTTGCTAACTGTCTGGTTGGGGAAAGTGAGTCTGTAAACTGTGATGGCACCTAAGAGTATTGAGCCTTCAAATGTCTGGGTTGTATATCTCCTGTGGCATATACCATAGGGTGGAAATAGGTAGGTCCACAAGGCTCATGGTACAAGAGATATACACAGGATAAAATGGTTAGACATCTATTCTAGTAGGGCCTCGTGCCAAGAATACAATCCCAATGACAACCAAATATTCAATCATTTTTATATATTTTATTTACCTAGATTATTGTAGCTTCGTAAATGAGAATGGTTTGTGTAGCACCCCTGCCAGTGTATATACACAACATATATAATACATGTCAACACACCTCCTAGGGAAACTACCATGGACCACATGGTCTTTGTAGGAATACCTTCTCAAAAACATAGACTAATAACTAAATAAATCAACATCTTGTCCTGCATTCATCCACCTCCTAAACATTCCTCTACTCTCATACATATTTAATTAAACCTTCAGTAGTTTCATGTATAATTTGATACAAATGGTTTGGGCTGATGGATGCTGTAAATGCCAAATAGGAAGCTGCACATACAAGTATATTACGTACACCACTACATCTGCAATGTCTTGTGAAGACAATGATGCAGTTTGCAGCATCTTCCGTAGGAGCTCATATGACATGTCCAACCTCAGAAGGTCAGAATAGCATTCTAGGTTAAGGTTTGCATGTTCATTACTGTCAGCTTTACAGCCTAAGCCTAATAAGCCTAAACCTAATTATGTTGTATTTTACAACAAAGGATAAAGGAAAACAGCGGTGCAGTCCAGGAGCCCGGATGCAAATCAAGGGCTTGTGTGTGCACCCCTGTGACCACCTATAGTGGAGCTCCTTGTATGAGAACATAACCCTCTAATGGCATAAAAGTCGGAAATATAGTGTCCTACTGAGGGAGACTAGAGGCAGGGGCTCCACTAGCATAAAGAACGGAGGGAAAAGAGAATGAAACCATACCTTTATTCAATCTAGGAATATGTTGTATTTTACATATCATTGCTGCATACCTGACATTATTCCCTGTCTACCATCTGGAACAGAGGTGAGCAGGGAAGAGTGCAGATATGCAGAGGGTGGGTCAAAGTGGGCAGTATATCTGACAATGGGGATGGGTCCACACATTAGGGGGGCAAGTCCAGCCAAAAGTGCTGGTCCTAGTGTGCAGATTTTAAAATACGGGAAAGGTCTCTGAGGCCTATATATGCTAAGACAGTACCCCAATATGTGGACTGTTCCGGCACATTCGGTACCGATGTTGCTGTGGAGAAATAACTTTTATGATGCATAGAACCATATTGTTTAATGAGAATCCTATGTGTCAGAGTACCAGTAGCAGCACATTTACAGTTTGTGCCCTCATTAAATTCCACTGTGGCATATCTAACCATTCGCCTTATATCCATGGTCTCAGCTGTAAGTGTGCCCATCTAGTGATGAGAAAAGATATCACACCTGTGAGAAAATAGTACCTTTGTTACTTACATATTGACCTCACTTTGAAGAGACCAGGGGATTCAGACACCGCAGTACTCTTCACCTCATTAAGTGCATTTGCTAATATTCTCGATGATTCTGGATTGACTTAGCTTTGATTAACAGTTTATTCAGTTCTATAACCTTGGCCTGTCCTGATTACTGTCTGGTGTCTGCATCAACCTATTGTCTTAGTATTTGACTACTTTCAGTTCAGGATGACCTTTGTTTGTCCCTGTTTACCCTATATCCATTATAGCTTTCTAAGAGGTATTTGCATACCATCAGGCCTGGCCATCGTAAGGTGTGGTAATACTTTTTCTGTACCTGCATTTGTGTATCTGGCATAATCTATCCGTACTGATAATATGCCAGAGGAATGGATTAAATTGACCTATACAATAATGTTTTTCATTTAAGTGGACTGGAGATTATATTCCCAAAATCTCACTCATCTGATCTAGTGAAATATACATACACAGAATATGTATCAGAACCTCCTTTATGGCTGTGTGCCACCATGATACATTTGTAAGGTTCTATTGGAACTGATATTTGAAACTATCATTTATTGCAATCACCTCATTGTCATATTGCATATACACTATATGTACAAAGGTATGGTGACATCTCACCATTACACCAACAGGAACTTTTTGTCATGAGGAATAACCTCAACACACAGAGTCTAGATTAACAGTAACAGACTGGACTGAAATAGACGTGTTACCGATCCTAAGAGTGGACAGGTTTAACGTACAATAGTAGTCAAATACAAGTCAAAAGTCAAAAGTAACCACACCAGTCAAACTCTGTAGAATGGGTAAAACAACCACAGACGTGTGCTGGAGAGGGTGCGGGGACAAAGGGACATACCTCCACATGTGGTGGACATGCCTGAAAGCAAAAACCTTCTGGGATGACATAGCCAAACTCCAAACAGAAGTGCTACACAAACACGTCCAACCGGACCCAGGGGCATTCCTTATCGCAAAGCCACTAGATGCCCTAACACACAGGGAACAAAAACTCTTCAACAAAATAAATTTAGCTGCCAGACGGGCCATGGCACAGACATGGTTACACACCGACCTACCCCCAATGGATAGAGTGACTAGCAATATAAAAGAGGCCCACCTTATGGACAAACTCACAGCACAACTAAGAGACACTTATCCATTATTTCTTAAAACCTGGGAGCCATGGGAAGACTACACAAACCGCTGAATGACATAATCTCGTGCACACACAAAACTGAGAGCCGTGCCTACATCCAGAGACAGACGACAGTTGCTCCGACCGCCAGCGGCAGATTCCCCCCCCCCTCCTATTGTACCTTTCCCCACACCCTCTTTCTCTCTCTCTACTACCTTTCACCCTCTCACGTTTCTCTTCTCCTATAAATAGAAAATTCATGCCTTAACCATAGCGCCTTAAACTGAGGCATAGGTACGGAACACCGACATACAGACAGGAAGCAAACCCAAGTTGCACTAAGCTGCACTTCTTCTATGGGCAAACGACAGCACTACCAACGTTAATCTGAACAACCGACTCAGTAATGCCATACCTCTTTGTACATGTCTGGCAATAGAACTTTACAAAATACCTATGTATAAGCAAATTGATATGCTTTCCTGTATGCTCGACTATATACTGGTAAAGCTTTTTTCTGTACCAAACCTGTGCATGATCTGACAAATAAAGAATTGAAAAAAAAAAAGTCAAAAGTAGTCAAATACAAGTCTAGGTCAGGATAACAGAGAAACAGTGAAACCGAGAACTAGCCAGAGTCAGGAAAACGGGATATTAATGGAACAGGTTAACTAGTCAGAAAAGGGTTACAGAGAAACTCAGGCTCATCAATAAAGCCAAGGCCAAACCAGAAATACCACAATAAAACAAAGAACGCACTAAAGTGTACTGAGAACAGAAACCATGATTGTAAATGGGGACACCAAACTGACGTGGACCAATTTGAGCTAAAATAACGTTACGTCCCCTGTGTGTCTTTAAAAATGTGTTTCAAATGCTAGCAGCATTATCAATGCTGGGAGTTGGGCCATGCGAACAGTTATCTCATTCGGTGCACACGGCCTATTCGGAGGTTCCCGATCAGTTCTAAGACCAAGTAAGTATCGTTACACTTTTATGACATAGCATTCTAAATACATAGACATTAGTATGTGGTGCTCCCTTTGCAGCTTTAACAGTTTCCACTCTTCTGGGAAGGCATTCCATAAGATATTGTAATGTTTCTGTGGGAATTCTGCCAATTCATCCAGTATAACATTTATGAGGTCAGGCACTGATATTGGACGAGAAGGACAGGCTTGTAATCTCCATTCTAGGTTATCCCAAAGGTGTTCAATGGGGTTGAGGTCAGGGCTCTGTGTGGGCTAGGCAAGTTCTTCCACACCAAACTCATCCAACCATGTCTTTATGGACCCTGCTTTGTGCATTGGGGGACGTTCATACTGGAATAGAGAAGAGCCTTTACCAAACAGTTCCCACAAAGCTGGAAGCATAGCATTGTCCGAAATATCTTGATATGCTGAAGCATTAAGATTTCCCTTCAATTAAAGTAAGGGGTCTGGCCAAACCCCTGAAAAACAGCCCCACACCATTATCCCTCCTCCACCAAACTTGACACTTGGCAAAGTGCAGTCACACAGGTAACGTTCTCCTGCATCCGCCAAAACCAGACTTCCCCATCACACTGTCAAACAGAGAAGCATGATTTGTCACTCCACAGAACACATTTCCACTGCTCCAGAGATCATTTGCGGTGTGCTTTACACCACTCGATCCGACGCTTGGCATTGTACTTGGTGATGTGAGGCATGCAAGCAGCTGATCAGCAATGGAAACCCATTCCATGAAGCTCCAGCTGCAAAGTTTATGTGCTAATATTAATACCAGTGGAAGTATGGAATCAGCAGAGCATTGGTCACTTTTACGCACCATGCACCTCAGTACTTTGTGACCCTGCTCTGTGACATTACTTGGTCTTCCGCTTCGTGGATGTGTTGCTGCTGTTCTTATAAATGCTTCCACTTCCCAATAATACTACTTACAGTTGACCGTGGAATATCTAGGAGGGATGAAATTTCACAAACTGACTTTTTATAAAGGTGGCATCCTATCACAGTACCATGTTTGCATTAACACAGTTCTTCAGAACAACCCATTTTTTGCACAAATGTTTGTAAATGCAGACTGCATGGTTTGATTTTATACAACTGTGGCAATGGGTCAGATTGAAACACATGAATTCAATAATCAATAGTTGTTTCATTTTCTTTATTTGGTGTATCCTTTTTGCCTGTAAGTCTATTGTAATAATTTACATTTTCTAAATATTGAATTTTCCATGGGATGTATTAGTAAGTACCATCTATTACAGGCTTCCCCAAGCTCTGGCCCTCCAAATGTTTCTGAACTACAACTCCCATGATTCCATGAATGAAATAAATAGGCTGAAGATCATGGGAGTTGTAGTTCAGCAACATCTGGAGGACCGGAGTTTGGGGAAGCCTGATCTATTGTAATTGCCTCTGTGCCTCTTGCTGTATAATCAATTGAAATATTATAGAATATCGTATTTTTTAAAAAAGGTTTGAATATTAATATTCTAGACTCACCAACAGTTCAGGTTTTGTCAGTATCTCCATTGGAATATATCAGAGAAATGCATAAATCCTTGATTGTTGGTGGGCCACGAGGACTGGTTAGAGATCCACTGTTCTAGACAATAACATAGGACTTGTACTAGAGGATTGGAGGAAGCAGATGTGCTTCCTATTTTCAAAAAGGGTTAAAAATATTAAGTATAGATTAGGTTGTTGCAGCGCATGTGATCTACTTGGCTTTGTTAAATTTTCAAACTGGGCAAAAGTGGTAAGTGGTGCCCCTCAGGGTTCTGTTCTGGGACCGCTTCTATTCAGCATTATAAATGATCTTGAAATAGGTATTGAAAGTCATGTTTCAGTGTTTGCAGATGACACAAAACTCTGTAAAGTAATACAATGTGAGCAGGATATTACTCCACCGCAGAAGAATTTAGACTGGATTTGGGGACTGGAAACTCAGATGACAGATGAAATTTAATGTAAATGCAAAGTTCTGCACTTCGGGGTAAAGAATGCACAAGAAACTTATGCCTTAAATGGTAGTGAAGTAGGGATAACAACAAGATGGATTTGGGAATTGTTATAGACAACAAACTAGCCAACAGTGTGCAATGTTAATTAGCAGTTTCTAAGGCCAGTAAGATATTTTTATGAATAAAAAGGGGTATTAATTCTTGGGATGAAAATATAATATTGGCTCAAAAACGCGGGCTATAAAATTAATAACAGAAATGGAACATTTTAGTTATTTAGAAAGGTCGACAAATTTAAATCTGTTTAGTTTAGAAAAACTGCGCCACAGACAGGATATGATAGCTTTACGCCAATATATTCTGGGCTAATACAAATCATTGCCTGGAAATCTATTCATAGACTGGAATAAAAATAGGACACAAGTTCATGCGTTTAGACTGGAAGAAAGGAGATTTAGTCTAAGGCAAAGGAAATGATTTCTCACAGAACAATAAGTATGTAGGATTCTATGCCTAAATAGGTGGTTTTATCAGTGTCTGTACAGATGTAGAAACAGCAACTGGATGAATATTTGCAAAAACATAATAAACAGGGATATCATTTTTAATATGTGAGATAATAACTTCTTCATCCAAGGAGAGATCGGACTGCCATTCTGGGGTTGAGAAGGAATTTATTGTTGCAAAATTGGAAAGAGCTTAAAATTCTTTTTTTTTTTTGTCTTCTTTTGGATCAACAGCAAAAACAGATGTGAGAAAAGCTGACCTTGATGGTTGGACTTTCATTATTTTGGATTGGTTATTTTAACATACATTTTCCAAATGCATTAAATACAAAATAATGAGTTAATACAAGTGGTCGGTCAAGCCTAGAGTACCCCTTTAAGGAAGGGGCAATTTATAATATATGTCACTAGCAGCATGATCCCTTAAACCACCTTCAACCACTAAAACATTTATTTGTTTTCTCCCACCTTCAACCACTAAAACATTTATTTGTTTTCTCCCTGCCTAAATCTCTTCCTCTTCTCTTATACTCACAGTTATTATTAACTTTAATTCTAGATTGAAGCATTGAGGATGCATTAAAGCGGCACTGTCAATGTCTGGGGACTTTGCCGAATTTGCAAAGACCACAGATGGCGAAATTGCTGCTGGTTATCTGGTGGAAGGTGGGAAGGGGAGGGAGGCAAGTAAAGGTGAGTCCTACTTATGTGAACCTGTCCCTTGCAGGCATGACCATATTGTTCCAATGGTGACTCTTCATGTGGGAGAGAATAGTATTAAGGTCTTTGGAGTATCCCACAAGACCACTGGTGACGGCCACCAGGATTAACACTGTAGCTCTGCCCAGAGTCTTAGAAAGTTAGGCGGAGGAAATAAACAGTAGTAATCCATACTTTGTCTCTTTGTATCTCTTGATTGAAATCTCAGTGAAAATCCAACACAATCAAAAAGAGTTTTTGTAAAGATTCTATCTTTATGAAATATTAATTATTTTTTAGGGGGAGGGGGTGACAGTGCTGCTTTATTTAATGCATAAATCCTAAACATCTCAAGCTAAAAGTGAAATATACTTATTCAATTATCATTTTAAGCACAAATACACATTTTCCTTCATTATTGGATATACATATACATAGGTAAATAAGTTCATGTCAGATGAAAAAAGGAAAACTCAGATCATGCCAAATAGCTGTCTAAAAGCAACTCACCAATTACCACTCCAATAGAAATATTTATAGCAGATAACTGGTGCCCTATTATGTCTGTGTTTTGCATAGTATTGCCTTCTTCTCATAATTCTGTCTATACATTGTTGGATTTCTTTCTGAGTTTAAGTCCATTTCCTTTTTTTACATAACTCGTTGTATGTTATGTGATCGTTTTCTGACTTTGGCTCTTAAAAAAAACAAAAACTTGAACAGTAATAACTTTAAAAAGATACAGGTAGAAAATGAAATAAAAGGCAAAACATGTAGACAGAATTAGGAGAAGATTTTATTATGTTAAAAAACCATGGCAGATCTGTTTAATTATCATGCAAAAATTAAGGAGGGCTTGCTAATCCTGTAATGTTTCCAGGTATGGAGAGTATGGCCAGATATTCTCATTTTCACAACACACAAACACTCCCAACTTTGGCTGCCCACGAATCAGGACGTCGGTTTGAGGGAAGTAAGCGGGGCAGGCCAGTGATGCGATGGTGTCACTGGCTCCACCCAAAAGGGGTGGACCCACCTGGAATGGCTGCAGGTCCGCCCACATTACTGGCAAGACAGCCTCGTGTTGACACCACAGGCTGCCATTCAATCTTTGAAGATCAGCCCTTTTAGGGCAGACTTTCAAAGGGGCACTCTAAGTGCTCCATGCAAGGTCCTAGTGCCCTGAACATAGCATGAGGGCATCTAATGCTGCGCTTGTGCTATGATTGTTGGGGACAGTTTACTGGTGTCCCCAAAAGTGGGACATCAGGGAGCTAAAACTGGACAAGGCCCAAAAATCAGGACTGTTCAGCCTAAATTGGGACTGTTGATAGGCATGCAGATGTTGTTCGTTCAGATATATTTCACATGACATATTAACATTTTTGTAATCACATTTATTTTTATAAGCCATTCATTTCAATCTCTGCCCCAATATGTTGCTAAATTACAACTCCCATGATTCTCTGGTCATCTATTGCATTTAAAGAATTCTGGGAAATGTAGGCTATTAACATCTGGGGATGCAGTTTTAAATCCCTAAGCCTTCATGAATCCATTGTGCAGAACTAAATAGAAACTGCTAAGCCAGCAGAAATCACTAGACAACTTTTCCCTAAGCGTGAGGTCAACATAACACTGATTCATGATGTTAGTATAAATACAAATACATTGGTAAAGAGGCAAGGTGGAATCATGGAAAAACTGTTAAAGGGGAATTGTCACTTCTCAGGGCTTTTAATATTATATTTACTTATTCCTGTATTTAACAAATATGTATTTGTAAGGTATGAAAAACACATTTAAATGTAGAAATCCACACCTCTTTATGGTGAAACATCTTAAGCCTCGATTTGATAAGCTTTCCAAATTATTTAATTTTGTAACAAAAACTATCGAAATAATTTCTCTACAAAGAAAAATCCCATTAGCTGTAGATTAACCATTTGACAAGTTTTTCTAATAGTATTGAATCACTTGAATCACTTGAATTCTCGGTCATTCACTGTTATTAACTCTGTCCTTTGCACCTGGCAAGCAGCATAAAGACTGTATCAAGCGACAAAATTTAACAATTTTTCTATTTCTCCTCCTTAATCACAGTCTGTGCCCTGGCTCTGCTTGGAGTAAACCGGACTGTGATGACATTTTGCTAAATCAATAAAATAAATTTAATATAAAAGATGAAAATAAAAAAAGGTTAAAACAAGCCACGGGTGATTTTTTAAATGTTTTATTCAATGGTGTCTTTGCCAGAGTAGTGACAGATTTCCCTTAACTATAATATTAACATTATAAAATAGACAATACAATAGATCGAGGTAGGCAGCCTTCAGCACTGCAGATGTGAACTACATCTCCTATAATGCTCTTACAGCCGTAATGCTGGCTAAACTTCATGGGAGATATAGTCAACAACATCCGGAGTGGTTGCCCACCCTGGTAATGCAGATAATGCATGCAGGTGTCTATTTTTAATTTCATACATATAGATTTTTTTTTACTTTATAGTATTTTGATCTTTAAAGTCTTTTAGCCAATTAAGATTTTTTTTTCCTCATTGTTCAACTATATAATTTAGACTTGTTCACACCATGCATATACGATGCAATATTTTATTACACAGTTGTAGAGTAGACAAGGCATGGTAAGATATAGAATTTTCTTTGCAGCACAGAATATGTTCAGTACAATAAATGCATTCGTCTCAGACAAGCTTAGCAGAACACTGGGCCCCTGGGTAAAATACTGTATGTGTGAAAAGCAAACTATGTGCATAAATAGAAGTGCCAAGCTCACCTTTCTGTCGCTCAGACCAGACACTGTGTCTATGTACTGCTCCTGAATCATGAAAGCCGCCAGATTGGCTGTGTAACTGGCCAGGAAGATGACTGCAAAGAAGGCCCACACCAGCACCATGATCTTACTGGTAGTGCCACGAGGGTTCTGGATTGGAACGGAGTTATTAAACACCAGTGCCCAGAGCAGCCACAGGGACTTCCCCACAGTGAAACTCGGGCCCCCCAAACCTAAGGGGAAACAAGGAAATCTTGGCACTCTCTCTTTTATTGTCCTTTCCTTCACTCATATAAATTTACTTCTTATTGTAAGATACATTTCCACATCTTCTATTTTATTAAAGGGACACTGTAGCCACCAAAACAACTTTAGCTTAATGAAGCAGTTTTGGTCTAAATATGATGCCCCTGCAATCTCACTGCTCAATTATCTGCCATTTAGGAGTTACATCTCTTTGTTTATGCAGCCCTAGTCACACCTCCCTGCATGTGACTTGCACAGCCCTCCTAAACACTTCATGTAAAGAGTCATCTCATTTTTTACATTTCCTTTCTTACGCAGTCTGTAAAATTTTGAATTTAATATCTCTCGCTCTGTTAATAGTTTGATAGACCCTGCAGAAGCCTCCTGTAATGAATTAAAGTTCCATTTACAGAGCAAAAGATAAAAACTTCTAAAGCAAGCTAACATCTGATTGAAAGTGAAACCATTTATTTTCACTCAGGCTGTGTGAGTCACAGCCAGTGTGAGGTATGGTTAGGGCTGCATGGATAGAAACAAAAGTGATGTAACTCTTAAATGGCAGAGAATTGAGCAGTGACACTGCAGAGGCACAATCTATACACAAAAATGTCTTCATTAACCTAAAGTTGTTTAAATTGCTGTAGTATCCCTTTAACTTTACACTCACACATAATCATTTATCTTATATGCTGTTTGCATTCCTTCATCAAAACTAACCAGTTTACATTCCTAAACTAATACAGAACTGTCCCTGCCATCTGTTTACTGTTGTTATTCTTATTTCAACACTTTTATTATAACCCTGCTGTAATTTCAAAAATATATATTTTCTTCCTCTATTATCATTGTTTCGTCCCGAATCATCTGAAATTAATTTTCTGTCTTCATAGGCATATTCATCTTCTTTCACTAAGTTCAGAGGTAATCCCTGTAAATCTATTACCTTTTAACAAGTAGCCAATACATTATTAGCCAGTGTAGGTCTATTTATTTGTCACATAGTCACTATAACAAAAATCAAGTCTATTTGTTATTTATAGACATCAGGTTTTCTGTAATAGAGCACAGGAGATCCAATGGGACCCTATAGGAACTGGACGTACATCATCTCATTGAAATGGTTATAGTGTCTGGTGACCCCTGACATCACCCTTCCATTCAGTGTTAAGCCATATAAAATGTTTAGTGCTAAGTGAATGTTTCCAGCAGCCATACCCTCTGTACGGGGATATCATTATTAATTAGTGAGGTAATAGATTATTGATCCAAAGAGATATCTGACTGCCATTTTGGGATCAAGAAGGAAATTGTTTCTAGTTAGTTGCAAAATTGGAAGAGCTTCATACTAGGTTCCCCGCCACCCCCTTTTTTGGATGAACAGCAAAAACAAAGGCTGAACTTGATGGATGAATGTCTCTTTTCAGCTATGTAACTATATAACTATGAAGATGCATAAGTCTGGTCAGGAATCGGTGCTTGTGATTGGCTGAGAATGTCAGCAGACCACTTTCAGCCTATCACAGCAGCCCTCACAGGTATGTTTTTAGTATGGTAACTAAACCGTTTTAATAAAATAAGGGTTCTTTGTCTCCTGTTCTATCGTATTTTATACCCCACCTCCATTAGACTGTAAGCTCGTTTGAGCAGGGTCCTCTTCAACCTATCGTTCCTGTAAGTCTTTTTCGTAATTGTCCTATTTGTAGGTAAATCTCCCCCTCTTATAATATTGTAAAGCGCTACGGAATATGTTGGCGCTATATAAATGCCAATAATTATAATGGGATATCACAAAATGAGACCTTCTAATAGTGTGTGTCTACTATCTCAAATCAATTTTTTGCTCCCCTTCTCCCTACTCCCAAAAAATTATAAATTTCTTGCTTTTAAATGACTTCTCCATTCACTTTTTCCCCTTACATGAATAATTCCCTATCCTACTTCAATGTAGAAGTTAAACAGCTACACTTTACTTAAATATATTATTTTAAAAAAATTAAAGGGATACACCAAGCATCATAATTACTTTTGTAGTGGTTATGACACCAGGAGTACTCTGGTGCTGTTCCACAGTAAAGAGGCAATGGTTTGCCTCTTACAATGACATTCATTCATTGACTGAGAGTTCAGTGTTCTCAGCCAATGAATGAACTTGTGTACACAGAATTAAATGATCTATAGTGTCTGGTATCCCCTGGTACTGTCCTTCCATTTAGTGTTAAACCATTTTTAATGTTTTAATGCTATACAACATTATCCTGATTGGGCTAAAGAGGAAGCATTAGCCTGAGCAGAAATTGGTCGCTGTGATTGGTTATAGCTCTCCTTCTGAACAGTTATTGCCCCCTCTGCCTGCACTGCTTTGGAATACTGCCTTTACAAAGGCACTTGTAGCTCTCAGGCCTAGCTCTTTCTTAACAGAAAGAATCTTTCTTAACAGAAAGAAATGGGAATTGAGGGCACACCCAGAACATGCATTTCTAAGCATTTATAGACTGTAAGCTCATTTTAACAGGGCCCTCTTCAACCTATCGTTCCTGTAAGTTTTCTTGTAATTGTCCTATTTATAGCTAAATACCCCCTCTCATAATATTGTAAAGCTCTACGGAATCTGTTGGCGCTATATAAATGGCGATAATAATAATAATAAGCAGTGGTGCTGCCGTATAGACAAAAAACATATACAAAATACAGTTAAAGGTACAGCGCACACATAAAAAAAAAAACAGTTTTATATTTAAATTGGCTACTTAAAATCACCTATCTTAGCAAACAAACACGGGGACTCGATTCCACCACATGGCCATACTGTGTCAAGCTCACCACTATGTCACAGCACCCCAATATCGGTGGGTCCCACACTAATTCCAACATGGGAGATTTACATGCTAACTTGCAATACTTCAAAAGACAACTTTAACACATCTTTGGGACCAGGGACTAGTGCAGCCAGCAAACTGGCTAAATACTCTGTTACTAGAATCCCTAAACAAACCAGACAGGACACACAATTCACAATAAAAGTGGCACAACTTATTTTATTTACACTTAGGTCTTACCCCTATTTGTATTACCGTAAACTTATGGTGACACACTCAAACACATAAACAAAACATATTCATATTGGGAATTATACAGGCACTCATATAATACAATACAATATTTATAAAGGGATTGGGAAGGCAAAGACTAACAAGAAATATGCACTCTGTGTGCATAAACCGTATTATGCAAATAAACCTGAATATGCAAATTAAGGAGCCTTGCTATTCAGCTAGTGCACATAACTGTTTAAAGATCTTCACAACCAACAGGTGGTGCTGTAGAGACTTGCAATCTCATTCAAAACCAACAGGCGGAACTGAACAGGCTCCAAACCCAAATCCATTAAGTTGGCAGAGTGCATCAGCAGGACAGGAGAGCACACAAGGCTTATGATACACAACATAACTATAATGTACACCCTGCACCTAAAATGTGAACATAAGAACAATATGTGGAGCTACATGAAGTGTCAGAAATATGCTGCCAGGGATGGTGACTACTGTCACAGACTCGTCACGCGTCAACAAGAGGCACAGTTGCCAACATTAATAGGGGCTCCTTAAATTACCATTAATGTAAGATATGCTACATGTTCTTACCAAAAAGTAGAATGCTACATTCAAACAAATATTTTAAAGGGATGAGAAAAGAAAATTGTTGAGATTAAAGTGTAAGAAAGCCATTTCTGAGTCTCGTTGACTCCAGACAACCACAGTGACAACCTTAATCTCGAAGTAGAGATAACAGTGGAAGATATTCAAAGCGTACTAGCCAAGCATAATTCCTGCAAGGGCACAGAGAATACTCAACCAAGTCATCATAAAAAAAGAGCCATGCCAATATTTCAGTAACTGCAGGCCTCTCTAGCTTAAGACATTGTCAGAGGTCAAAATGTCACAATAAGAGGGAGACTGGGTAAATATCGAATCCATAATTAAATGAGCTTGAAATTAAAAAAACAAACTTTGTGTTTACTTGTGTTCTGTTTGACTTATATGACATTTTATATTGAAATATGAAAACATTAATTGTGGCCAATATGTAAAATAGATGTGTAGCGGATGGCATGGGGCTGTCCTCAACGTTTGCTTTAAAAGTGTATTTCGTGTGAGTATTCCCCTGTATAGATGTATTGTATGTAGCATTCTTCTGATTGTTCGGTAGTTTTCAGTCTGTATTCCATACGAATGAAAACTACCGAATCATCAGACCACCCCAGAGAAAAGTGTGTTAGGCTTTCACACTTCTCTAACCGCAAGCTAACTGACCATGCAATCGGTACTTGTATACATATCTGGGTGGCCGCCGTTCGGCCATCTTACGCAAGAAAATCTCAGCAGTGTTTGGTCGTCGAGTGTCTGGAACTCAAATCGGACACTCAATCACCCGAACACCGCTGAGACATCCAGAGCTCCATAACTCCCAAACGTAGGGACCAGCCCCTCGTTCGGTGAACTTAATGTTAAGGGTATTCATACGAATACCGATGGAACGTTGGATGGCAAGTAATTCTACATGTTTTATCTCCCGAACAGAGACCGACCGCAAGGCCAAAACACATGGAGCCTTTTTCGGATACTACCTCATGTGCGGTTGGTCAAATTGCCTCTTCCACTTAACTCCTGAACCCCTGGTCCAATCTGGGTGAATTTTGAATATGTTGGTCACCCAGATCAGGGCTACCAGGGGGTACCCCTTATATAATTGTATCTGACTGTTTTGGGGTACATCCAGAAATCAGGTAAAACTGTAGTATGTATAAATGGATTATGTGTCACACTGAGGGGAGATGTGTGGGAGGTAACCATTACACTATTGGCTACTGTACAAATTAATGTGAATCCCTCCCTTGCATAGGAGAAACCTTTAAAATGAGTTTGTGTGATTAAAAGTTCAGTTCTGCTCCTGATGCTGTGTGTCGTCCAGTCATTGGGATCTGTATTGGGATATTCGTGGATTACCTTGCTTGCTGTGACTATTGATCTAGATTGTATTACTTGTTCCTGAGCCTCACTGGGATCTTTAGTGGAGATAACCTGTGAAATACCAGCTCTCCGCTACAAGATGAAGAGGGAAATGTTTTTTCATGGCAGTGCTACACTTGAGAGGCCATTTTGTGAGGGCTGCAACCAGAGAGGATGTGAAGGAGAGAGCCACAGTTATGCCACAGCATAAACCAGTCACCGAATATCTGAGGAATTAATGACAGACACACGGACAAAGAGATGGCCACATAGCACATCACAGTCTTCTGTAGCTGCAATGCAAGAAACAAGGACTGCCACCTGTCACGAGAGGAAGCTGGGATATAAACATTTATATTCACCTGACTGAATACACTGTTTGGAGACATCTATCCTGAAATACTGCTGTAGGAATTATTTATCTCAAGTGGAGCACTTCAAACCCAGAGCCAGGGGTGATAGGGCTCTGGTATATGTGAGTTCTCTCCCAGATACCCCTAAATATTTTATGCTTTTATTCAGATAGTCTGCACTATATATGTTTATGTAATTCATTTCAGAATATGATCTGAAGGAATCACAATCATTGCAGTTTAAGCGTGCTACATTATTTGGTATTCTTTTGATATATTATGTGTCACTTTTGTGTCGCTTTGGGGGTAGAACAGCTAACTGTGTACACTCATTATAACTTTTTCTTAAGCTCTCTCACATTTTTTTTGTTTTTTTTCCAATGTTTTATGGATCCTGCTCTAAACTTGATATAGTACCAGGCAGGTTAAAAAATGTGCAGCTCCAATAAATATGTTTTAATTGTAGCTGCTGAGGTTTTTCTTCTGTTCATTGTGATATGGCTCTATTGAATTTAGGTTGATTGTGGATGCTATTCTGGTAGCTTTTAAAAGGTAATTCTACAGGTCAGAGATGGCAACTTTTTAGTAGCACTGTGCCAAAACAAGATCCTGAAGTCAATTGGTGTGCCTTTCCTGTTTTTTAAATTGAGGTATGTATGTTGCTGTACTCTGCTTGTGTTATTTATGGGAGTTGCAGTTGCTTTGTATCGTTGTATTTGTGCGTATGTCAGCTGTTATATTGTATATGTTCATGAGTAGTTTGTGATATTCTGTATGATACCTATGAATGTTGGCAGTGTATGGGGGCTGCTTGTGGAATTGTGTGTGTGGATAACATGTCACATTGTGTTTTTGGTGGTGTGTGTATGTGTGGGGCTGCTTGTGGTATTGCATTTGAGAAGTTGCTTGTGGGATTGTGTGCATGTATGTGGATTATTAGTGGTGTTGCATTTGTGAGGACTGTGTGTGTACTTGTGTGTGGGCTTTTTGTATTATTTGTATGAGGGGGAGGCTTATTCTGCAGCTCTGTGTATATCGAGCAGTGTTGGTGGCTTCACTCTGGTCAATTGGGGACCGGGCTGGCCAGGTACAGGTCAATGGTAGGAGCTGAAACAGCTGCAGTGGGCTGCTCTACTTCAGTGCAGATTCGCGTTCAAAAGTGCTGGGAGGAAGTGAACTGAGATCACTTCTTCTAACTACTGCAATGCGTACATTGAGGATTGTCCCTCAATCACTGCTTGGTTTGCACTAGCAGATATATGAAGTCCCACTGGCATTCCTGATAGGCCAGAGCTTTTTTTTTTCTCTGGCAGCCTTGAGTGCCATGTAAAATGCATCTCTAATGCCATGCATGGCACATGTACTACTATAGGTTGCTGACCCATGCTATGGGTAGTAGGTAAGTTAAAGAATGGCATATTGTAACATACACGCCTAACGCCTTGTACTTCAAGCAAAGATGTAGCAAGTTGTAGCATGCCTAGAAGCACCTGATCCCTCACATTATATAGCCTTGAAATGCCATTATCTATGTACCAAGAAAGATCTAGGATCTAACACACATTAACCAAACTGTATTGCAAACCTTCTATTATGGTATCCAAGACATAACTGGACTGATTAAAACAACCTAGTCTTTTGAAAAAAAATTCAGTGGCGGCTCTAGACTTTGCGAGTCTTAAGGCGGACCTCAAACACGAGGCCAGGCCCCCACTAACAGCCACAGTAAAAAAAATATATGGTTTCTATTGTGTGTGTATGAGGAGCTGTAGTTATGTCGAAGGGCAGGCTTCCAACACTGGATACAGAAAGGTAGTCTCTGTTCAGAGGCTTCCAGTGTCGTGGCTTCTTTTGCCACTCCGTTGTGAGCTTTCTCAGTTTAGTTACGGCATAATTTGCAAATGAAATTAATTAGCAATAAACAAATTCAATTTGCAATTATGTTAATTGTGTATACACGATTGCTGGGTATGGTTGCATAATCTGGCAGTCATATATATATAAGTAAGTGCCGCTGTGAAGGGGTTATTAGCAACAAAAATGCACATTTTGGTTGAGCAGAAAAACCTTACAAAAATGAATTTAACAGATAATAAAGTTACAAATAAGTAAGTAGTGTCATAGATATTTCCCCCACATATTATATAATCCTTTACATGTGTATTATCCTATATGTGTTGCCCCATATATTGCATATGCACATCCCACAAGTATCCCTATTTAGGGGGGATAATCTCTATTTTAGGCCCCAATCCTTCTGGCTCTGTTTTCTATAAAAATGTCCCTCTTGTCCATCCGAAATGTGTCTCTCTTTGTCCATCCGAAATGTTTGGATGTATGTATATCATAAATGTTGCCACCTTACCTTTGCATTGCCCATACCATCCTCACATTGCAGCCATAGACACACACATGCATGTATGCACACATATACACACTGTTACACACACACACACATACACACACATATATACACATTAATACAAGAATACATATACACACGCTGATACACGCACATGCATGCAGACAAACGCACTAATGCACAGAGACCCACACATTGACAAATACAGACAAATAGTCACAATGTGAATCTGGCTGTGTGTATTACTGAGTGTGATTGACATTGCCTGCCTGAGTGTGTGTCTGACAGTGAGTATCCTTGTGTGCAAATGTGTATGTTTGTGTCTGGGACTGTATGTGTGTGCGGGTTGCTTGGAGTGTGCTGTGTGTATGGGGGTCTGCCTGTGGTCTTTGTGCATTTTCTTTGTGGTGATGCTGTATTTAATGAATGTGTGTGTATGATTACTGTCTTCAGGGGATGACAGTGACAGGATGACTAAAGGGATAACTGTGGCAGGGTGAGTGTGACAGGGCAAAGAGGGTACATGAGACAGGGTGTGAGAGGATTAGGGGAGAATGTGACATGATTAGGGGGTTAATATGACAAGTTGAGTGTGACAGAGTTGGAGAAGAGTATATGGCATGGTTGGAGGAGGGAGTGTGATAGAGCAGGAGAGGCAAGTCTGACAGCTTTACTGGTGTTACTATGACAGAGATTATAGCATGTTTGGGGGTGAGTGTCACAGGGTTGGGATGCATATGGTTGGAGGAGGAGTGTGACAGTGTGAGGTGAGATGTATATGTGTGTGGGGGAGTTAGTGTAACATGGTTAGTGTGGCGAAGCAAGTGGGTCTGAGTGTGAAAAGCATTAGTGGATGAGTGTGACACGATTAGAGGCGTTAATGTGATAGGGTGAGTATGGCATGGCTGGTGGGGTCAGTGTACAGGGTTGGAGGTGAGTGTGGCAAGGTTGGAGGAGGGTGTGTGACAGGGCGAGGGGAGGTGAGTGTGACAGGATTAGAATAGGTTTATATAACAGGACAAGTGTGGCATGCTAGGAGGGTGAGTGTGACAGGATTGGAGGGATAAATGTGAGTGAGTTAGGCTGGGTTAAGAGGGATGAGTGTAACAGGCATGGGGGGTGACTGTGTGAGACAAGGTGAGGGTGAATGGATTAGGCGTGTTAATGTGATCGAGACTGTGTGGCACAGGGAAGGGAGGTAAGTGTGACATAGTTGGGGGGTGAATGTGTCAGGAATGGTGGACGGGGTTGAGGGGGAGGGTCTCTACAGACAGTGTGAGGAGAAACTGTATTACTGTGACCAGCCTCCCAACACTGCAATACATTTTTTATGTATTTGACCCTTTCCTTGGTAGGAGGGAGCAGTAATGGATTCCCTGGCGGTCTGTGGCCTAGCTATCCCATTTGCAGCTCTGCCGGGTGCAGAGTTGCAGACCATGAGGTAGTTGTCTTGCGAGCTCCGGCCCTTGGAGTATCAGAGCATTGCTGTAGTAACCTGCCACAATGCTATGATTGACTGGAGATTGCTGACAACAACTTCAAGGTCTGTAACTCTGCACCCAGTGGAGCTGCAGGCCACAGGCTGCTGGGCTCTTTGTCCCCTTGGGTCAACTCAGTAGGGTGCCACATCTGGTGGCACCCACCCTTCTTTTGTCGGGCCCTTGGTCACCTAACAGATCAATGTGCCCTAAGGCGAGTTAGGCAGCCGTAACTCACTTAATTATAGAGCCTCTTCTGAATAAGTTATATAACATTAACTTTATTTATGGCTTGGTTATGTGGACTCAGTATTTCTTCTATGTTCAGAAATGTTTGTCAGTCCATCAATTATGCTGTATGAAACCTCATTCAACATTAGACAAATAAAAATACATCATTGTAGTTTTGTTGGGGAGATGGAATATATCAGACTCCTTATATTGTCCCTTTACACCTATTTAATTTCCTAGAGCATAATGCAAAATACCCCCTGTCCTTTTAAATTCCATGTTTGCTTGATATAAGTCATATTCATTCCTCCTGCAAATTCTTCATGTTATCTGTGTCTTCCATTAACATCAGTCAGTGAGCTTGGTATTGCTCTCTTCATATGCTTTCATATAAAATTAGTATTTCTCAGATGCAAATCTTCTCTTGAGCCTATAAGTTGTTGCTCTTTCCTTTCCATCTCTGTATGCTTTCCTTTAGACTAACTATTCTTCTTGTAAACATTTTGGACCATTCTGCCATTTTATTCATAACTCAGTCTTTTCTTCTATACTGTTACAAGTCTACAAACCATTCTTCATATTCTACACTTTTCAGCCACAGCATTTGTAATGGACCCTCCGTCAATCAATGCTCCTAGTGCTTACCAAGGACCATCAGCACCGCACCAGACACCATAAGCACTACAGACCCCATGAACTGCCGCAGCTTGGTTGGGGTCTCGCCGTCTCCTACCCACCCTGGACCTACGACAAGGCTCCAGGCTCCAGTGGGTGAACCTCTCTTCCTTCAGAGAGCGAAGCAGGAACAGCTCTTAGAAGAGCTAGTGATTAGCATCCAGGGGAGTATACAGAGTATAGCAATCCCCAGTGTGATATAGCAATACCCTACAACACGAGACAAGGCTGCGAGTTGAGGGTAAGAAGGTCTGAAGGTTTATTGAACAGCTTGAGTTTTTATACAGTTTTTCCCCACAAGGTTGATGCCCAGGTGAACCTTGTGGGGCACAGGACACAGAATTAACAAACCAATAAAGAGTCTTACATGCAGACCCTCCCCTACAGTGTACACAATCCCTCCCCTCTGCATGTGATACAATTAACAAAGACAATGGGCTAACTCAATTCTAAACAGAAAAAACATACATTTTAGAAACCCCAAAAAGTACCCCAAATTACAGCATATCCCCACAGTCACAGCCCCGATCTGGGTGAACAATATATCCAAAAATCACCCAGATTATTCAGGAGTTCAGGAATTTCCTGAAAGTCTTATTTTTGCCCCACCGTGCACATGGTCCCATGGCCCAATGCCCAAAACAGTTCCATACACTCAACGGCAAAACACTGCTGGACAATTTAAGATGGCCGCTGCCACATGTTTGAATCTGTTCCAGTTAAAAGTCTGAGGGGCAGAAACAGTACAGTTGAACATGGGTTATCACAGGGCCCATAGTCCCAGGGTAGGAGACTGGCAAACAGGCCCCTCCAAAAACCAGTGGCAAAGTTGCTTTCGTCATAGCATTAAAACCACTTGTCTAATATCGTGTAGGTCCTCCTAGTGCTGTCAAAACAGCTCTGATGGCTCGAGGCATTGACTCTAAATGTGTCCTGTGGTATCTGGCACCAAGACATTAAAAGCAGATCTATTAAATGTTGAGAGTTAAGGCTTCCATGGATCAGATTTTTTGTTCCAGCACATCCCACAGCAACTCAATCGGATTGCGATCTGGGGAATTCAGAGGCCAAGGTTACATCTTGAAGGGGAATTTGGAGGCCAAGGCAACATGTTGAAGTCTTTGTCAAGTTCCTCAACCATGTCTGAACAATTTTACAGTGTATCATTATCCTTCTGAAAGAGGCCACTGCCATCAGAGATAATCATTGCCATAAAGGGGTGTACGTGTCTGCAACAATCTCTAGGTAGGTGGTACATGTCAAACTAACATCAACATGAATGCCAGGACCTAAGTTTTCCCAGCAGAACATTGCCTACAGCATAACACTGCCTCTACTGGCCTTCCTTCTTCCCAGTGCATCCTGCTGCCATCCACAGCCACACACGCACTAGGCCATCCCTAGTCACACACGCACCAGACCATCCACATGAGCTAAAAGAAAACATGATTCATCAGACCAGGCAACCTTCTTCCATAACTCCATGGTCCAGTTCTGATGCTCACGTCCACATTGAAGGCGCTTTCGGTGGTGGACAGAGGTCATCATGGGCACTCTGACCAGTCTGCGGCCTGACTCAGTCATTGAGCCATCACTATTTGGCCGTTGTCAGTCACTCAGATCTTTTCACTTACTTATTTTTCCTCCTTACAACACATGAAATTCAAGAACTGACTATCCACTTGCTGACTTATATATCCCTCCCCTTCACAGGTGCCATTGTAATGATATAATCAATGTTAATCACTTCACCTGTCAGTGGTTTTAATGTTTTGGCTGATCGGTGTATATTCCATCCATTTTCTTACAGTATGTTGTGTTAACTTAAAGGGACACAATTGTCACCAGAAGAACTACAGTTTAATGTAGTTGTTCTGGTGTCCATAGCCTGCCCCTGCAGGCTTTTTAATGTAAACACTGTCTTTTCCCTGCCAGGTGCTTCCTGGGTCAGTGCTGCACTGTGTGCAGCACTGACTTTCAGGGTCTCCATGTAGAGATGCTACCCATTAGCATGCATTGATTGAATGCATTTCTATGCGGAGATACTGACTGGCGCAGCGTTTTGGGTTACCACGGCAACGCTCTGACTGGGTCTCACGAGATACATGGACTGCAGCTCTGCACATTGTGATCGGATATCACGACCGGACCACCAGGGAGCCCACTGGATTACCAGGGAGCACACAATGGACCATTAGGAAATTTCATAAGGTATTTAGTCCCCCCTCCCTCCCTCACACCATCACCCACACATTATTATTCCCCCTCTCTCACACCATCACTTCCCTCCTTCACGCCATCACCCCCTTCCCTCTCACCATCACCCACCTCCCACACATTATTACCCCCCTCTCTCACAGTATCAGCCCCCCAAACAGTATCACCCCTCCCATACAGTATCACCCCCTCCCATACAGAATCAACCCCCTACCATACAGAATTCCCCCTACCCCCCACACACACAGTATCACCCTCTCACACACATGATCACCCCCCACACACACACACACACAGTGTCACCCCTTTCCCACACACAGTAGTACCCCCCTTACACACACTGTCTTCCTCCCTCATACACATTGTCACCCCTTCACACACACATATACTGTCATGCTCCCTACACACTGTCACCCACAACATTGTTGTGTCACCATATTCCCACACACTGTCACCCCTCCCTACACTGTCATCGCCCCCACACTGTCACCCCCTCACACTGTCAGCCTCTTCATGCATCCACACTCACATTAACCACTCCTACTCCTGTTAATCTCACCCCTTCCAAACTCACCTGGCCTCACTCTGCCACACTCACCCTGTCAAATTAACTCCTCTAATTCTGTCACACTCACCATCTCTCACTCTGTCACACTCTCCATCCAACCCTGCCACACTTATCCTGTCACATGAATGCCTCTAATCCTGTCAACTCTGCCACTCATCTTGTCACATTAACCCCCCCTTAATCCTGTCACACTTGTCCCTCCTACCATGACACAATTGCCCTGACACACTTGCCTCCACTCGCCCTGTCACACTTCCTCATCAAACCATGTCATACTCCCTCTCCATCATTCTCTCTCACAACCCCCCTACCCTGCCCCATTTACTCCCTTTGCCCTGTCACGCTCTCCCTGACACTGGTACCCCTTAACTCACCTTATCACAGTCACCAGCTGAAGACATTCATTATACACACACAGTCAGGAAACATAGCTTTGCAATAAACACAATGCACAAAGGCCACAGGCAGACCCCCATACACAACACACTTCAAGCAGCTACCCAATACACATATGGTCCAGACAGAAATGCAAACATGCTCACAGAGACATACATTCACACACACACAAGGATACTCTCTGTCAGACACACTCTCAGGCACATACACAGGTAGACAGTGCATTAATGTGTATATGTGTGCATGTATTGCAACTCAATTTTTTTCACTTTGGTGTTAGTGGGGCCTCATGTATGGGTTTCGCCTAAGGCCTCATAAAGTCTAAAGCCGGCTCTGTTCCTTTAACAACTTAAAATGAATATTCTCAGAGCCTTGACTAACATTATTCGACCTATTTTGTCCTGGGATTACTTTTCCAAGAGTTTCTTGTCTCTGTCTTTTGTCCATTCCAAGTCTATGTCATTACTTCTGCTCATATGTTCTACCCTGTCCAGTTTTGCAGATTCCACTAATCTAACTTCGACTGCAGCCTCACTCAATAAACACAAATTCTCCTCAATTATTGATGAACAAATGAACTTGGCTAATTTGTATCCCAACCAACTTCTGCTGGTTGTATCCCAACCAAATGTTTGTTGCATAGGAGATTAGTTACAAAACACCAAATTGTAGTGAATGTACAGCCTACAGAAATTGAAGGCAAAAATTGCTGATTTGGAAAAATATCTCCAACTCATCTGTGGTCCCAATTTAGCCAGTTTAGTCTAACCTTTGCAATTTGGGTTCCAATTCACTACAATTTGGTGTTCCCTGAATTTATTCAACAGTATGTCTTCTTGGGACTTTTGGAAATAAATATCAGGTCTGGCCTCCACTTTTTTACCAATTCACAATGTTTATTTTCTTTAGTATATATTTCTGCATTAGTATCCTTTGCCTACCATACTTTTGCAGATTTGCCTGTACAATTATGTCCCTATGTGCCAAACTTACAGTATCCTGCAATCTATCCTTCATGTAAGTTAACTGTACTTAAATCTCTCCTCTCATGTCCACCTTTCTTTTATGGCAGGTTAGAACTTAGAAGGCATGCATTCTCATGTTATTAAATGAACACTCAATGTAAGTGCATTTGTTTGGTTTCAGCCTAATATTCATGCTGCATTTCTATCCACTTTCAAATCTCTTCAGTTTTACTACAACAGAATAACCATTCCATTTTCAGTCATGCCTCCCTTTCTCACAAAATATCTTCCTGATTGGAATGTACACGATGTGGCTCAGTCATTAAGAGATCTTTGCGAGTTCACTGCTGTCGGGACACCCACAGCCAATCGCTGCCCATTTATAATCTGTATTACATTTCAAATAAGAGGACCAGGACTGGCTGTGGGGCAAAGTCATGTCATCATCACAGCTCACAATGTTCTCTGATTGGCTGTACATACTAGCAACTTGGAAGATGTCTTGTGAAATGGGGAGGAGTGGCAGAACCTTCAACATTGTTTTTTTTTTGTATATTTTAGCAAAATTAATGAGATTGAAGTTGGGAGAAAAATACAGCATAAATTTGAGGCAAAATGCACCTAAATTGAGAGGGTGCCGAGAGTTAATGTGGAATGTTTCTTTAAGAAACTGTACACTATTCTGAGGCTTTAGAAAATAGTCGCACAAAGACGTCTGTCTACCTTTATATTTAGTTTTTGCTTTAGTTGGCATTGTTTTGTTGCCAGGTACAATGCAAACGGTTTTATTTCTTAACAATAACATCTTAGTGTGCGTATATTTTTAGAGATCCTTCTCAATGACACCCTTCACAGAAAGTTCCTTTTTTCTACTGTTCCCTCTACTTCTCTAACTGTGGTTCTTCTTCTTGATTGTCTGTAATGACCAAGATGTCTTCGACATATCAATTTATAGCAATGATACCTGCCTTATATTCACATTGACTCCCTCTGCCTTTCTTCACACTGAATCCCTGACATGACACTGTGTCTGAGGTTATACCGTATTTTACATTGATCCTTATTCTTTCCTTCCACTCATACCTGTCTATCAAAATGACACATGTCCCGTCTGTCCTACAGCCACCTAAATTTCTCTTATTCATTTGATTTACTTTTTATATTCCTAGTTCCACATTTCTCCTGTTTTTTTGGTTTTTTTTACTATTCTTTCCTGCTGTCAGTAAATTATATTTTTCACTCTAAAAGCCCAATAAAACAACTACCTCTCCATCTAATTTTCTTTTTTTCATTCCCATAATCTATTTGTCTTTTTCTCATTCTCACGTTTTCCGTTGTTTAAATCTTGATCGTATCCCATAGGGCTGAAATATTCGAAGATGAAGACAGTGACAGCAACGACAGATAGACACATGACGAACATCATCATCCAGACAGCTGGGCTGTATGGCTCTGTTGAGAGAGATTTAAGTGACAAAAAGGAGTCCAGGAATGTGACATCATGCAATCCCTAAAGTAGAGGTTTGAGCACCATTTGTCTATGGGGACCAGCAGTCCATTTATATATAAAGTAATAGAGTACAGATTTTCATAAAGGTGTGCCGGACCATTCATATCTTTTTGGGATTGTCTAGATCTAATATACTGGACCAAGATTACTTGTGGGTTCAATTAGGTTCATGTCATGATAAATTTAGCACTATGTGTCAGGTCACTTAGATAACTTACGAAAATCACCTTGCTAATTTTGATAATTTCAATCATACATGGGATATGTGAAATAATAATGAAAATATTATTTGGATCACCATGAAGCAGTTGAAGTAACACTGTACTCACTATAACAACTTAATCTAGATAAGGTTGTTACAGTGCCCACAGTTGATCCCCCCTCCTTCATGGCCTCAAAGCTAAATATTTTAGTAATTAGAAGGCTTGGAAATGCAACTTCATGCCATGTTTCCAAGCCTTCTGGATATGAGAGCCATGACTGTTTTTTGCGGTTCTCACACTCTACCATACCGCGACCACATGCACACGTGTGCAGTGCCGTCACAATCTTCCTTAGAGAATCATTGCATGCATCGTGATGCAATTATTCTCTGTTCCAGAGTCGTATGTGGATTGCGTCTAGTGCCACACATGTGCCTACAATCCCCAGTGCTCCTCTATGGACACCTCAAGAATGAGAAGGCACACTTGGAGTAGGCCACTGCAGAGCTGAGGGAGACTCAGCGATGAAGAAAAAGTGAGTGAAATTCTTTATTTTTGTTTTAATTCATTTTCTCATTAGCTGGTGGTGTGAGGCACCTGAAACTAAATAGGGACATTAATACAAATATATATTCCTAACGCTATCATATCCCTTTAACCAGTTAACAATAGTAAAATGTCAGGCAAACGTGATTGTCACAAAAAGAACAAAATTAAGAGTATATAAAAAGTATAAATAGTTTATGGATTCGCCATAAGTTCTGCAAGGTTAATAGTAGAATTTGTAAAATTCATACAAGATGCTTTGGAAGACAATCTCATAAATTCATTGTAAAGACATTCTATGAACAGGTAAGTAGTGTGATTATCCAGTTAGAATTATATGGATTGATTTAATTGACAAATAGGTTCTGATTGCTTATTATAGTAAAGTCAACAGCAACATTACAAAATGTCTTACCCAGAAATGCAGAGGGAGACACTGTTCCATTGCTACGTGATACCAGGACACTTATTCCAGTCTCTACGAAGGGAACAGAGAAATCTACAATCTCTGAGCGCTCCTCGTTTATAGTGAGAGACCCAATAGCAAGATGCGCACGCTGGTAATATACCTGGTTTGTAACAAATGGGAGCGAGAGAGGAAGATGCAAGAAAAAGAAAGAAAAGGATAAAGAAAATGTAGTGTTAGAAGAACACTAGGTTGAGTGGGTTATGTGCAACAAATGTAGATAGAATGGGAAATAGGTGAAGGATCAGGTAAAGAATGAATATGACGCCAATTCCACAAAAATTATGAGAAGAAGTAGTTTTTCTATTTTATATCTCAATATTTTTCCATGAGCTCACCTCTCCAATCATCCCATTCCACACACCTCGCACAATTTTTCCATGCTTCCCATTGGTCACCAGGTAGAGATCATATGAAAACTTAACAGAACGGGCCAATTTCTTCAAGATGTCAATACAAAATCCTTTGCAGCATAGCTTGGAGTAAGGTTCTCCGGAACTGCTGAAGTGTGGAAGATAAAATATATGGAAGGTTCTATATCGGGGTGTTCCACACAATTAAGTATTACTGGGAAACAGGGACAAAAATACATTGTAAGATGCTACCAGTTCTTGTATGATGTGGATTATATATAACGTAAGTAAAATAATTAAATTATTAAATATCTTTGAATCAACATAAATTCCCTCTATACATCCTTTTTACCTCAAAGTTAAGTTGCTTTGTTTACGGCATGGTACGGTGTTCCTGACACAATCCCCAGTCACTGGGTCTGTGTTCTCAACGATAACAAATGGCCTTTCTTCAAGCGTAGCTACAGTCAAATGACGTGAATCTGTCACAAGCTGCTGACCTATGCCATACCTTGGCCACACAGGGTACTTCATCTGAATAATTCCACGATCCCAGCGGCCCACCTAGGAGAACAAAGTCATAGAAACTTTCTAAATATGGTCACTAGTTAGAAACGGACACAAAGTGGTTATTTAGTTAACCTATGTGTTGTCTCACCTCCTCCCATTCTCGATGTGGAGTCAGTATTATCACTAGCATTGGTGGATCCAACAAGAATCCCTGGGTATTAAATGACAGATTTCGCTTTTTCCAAACTATATTCAACATATGCCTGCCGATATAAACAGAAAGGAAACATTTAAAAAAGTACAAAAGATAACGAAAGTGCTTGGACATAGTGATAGTATAAGTCATTATTAATATTTTTAATATATAGGAGAGATATATAAAAGGGATAATCAAAACACAAATCAGTTAGAGAAGAAAATATAAAATTGCATGAGAAATAAAAGAAGTGGTGGTAGTTTTTTCATGCATCTTTTTAATTTTGTAAATTACCTGTACAAAGTGTCATTTCCATGAACTTCTTGTGGGTCAGAGCAGGTTCCACCAGGATGTGGAAGATCCCCATGGCTCTGCAAATAGTTTTTGGCACCTGCAGCAATAACTGCTACCCCATCTTGCACCTTCTGTAAGAGGCTTCTCCTCCAGCCATCGGTCACCACACTAACCAAGCCAACTGGGAAGAATGTAGCTGGACGTTCTGGTGACCCAATTGTAAAGCTTGGCACAATCCACGTGTATCCAGGCCCCAAAAGTCCAACCTCTCCTGCTACTGAAAACAACTCCTGAGCCTCCTCCCTTGAACAGAATAGTATTAGCACTGGGGTGGAAACTTGTCTGAGCACATGCTGTATACCTCGGGTCCCAGAACCTGGTTCCAGTGTCAGCTCATCTTGGGGACACCAGCCTGGTTGAAGTTCCTCACACAGAGTATGGATGGACCTGAGGAACAACTGGTGACCAGGATAGTGGCTGCTTATGATGGAATATGGACCAAGATTGTACTCTTCCAGCACTTTGAATATTACAGCAATTTGCTGTTCCACTGAAGCTGCCATCTGCAAGAATGAGGAGCTGGGTTCCTGTAGATAGCAACATACAAAAAATACCCTAATACATTGGTTAAAATGCATTCTGTTTTATCAGATCTACTGATAATAAAGGAAAACTCTAGAAAGCACGATAATAGTTTAATGGCCAAAAAGGGGGAGACAATCTTTGGCACTCCAGATGTTGTTGACTACATTTCCCATAATGTTATTATAGCCATATTGCTAGTCCACATCATCATCATCAACATCATCATCAACATCTGGAATATCAATATTCTAATAAAGTTCCATAATTAACAAATTAACCTTTATTGCAGTGACTACTATGGTCCCATGCTTTAACTTGATACAGTATACCCCACCTGCTATTACATTTGCCCCTTTAAAATGTTTGGTACTAATTAATCTCACCTTTGGGCTCATGACCACAGCAGAACCCCCACTGATGCTAATAATGGGTACAAGAGTCTGAGAGGAGATGAAGTCAAGGATTTGTGCCACTGCCTCTGTGCCTATATTGTCCTGGAAAACAACTCCATGAGCACCACTGAGTGCGAGGCACAGTTGGCGCATAAGTGGTCCAGGGCCGCTGTCATTTAGTAGCACTGTAACCGTGTGAATGTCAAGAGGAAGACTCAAAGATCCTTCTGGAAGCAAAGGGCCTCCATGCTCCATTTGTGGAAAAGAACCTCCAAACACCAGAGCCACATTCAAGACAGGTCCTCCAGCACGTGGTAGCAGGGTCTCCATCACCACCGCCTCACAACTCAACATACAATAGACAAACCACCCCAGGGACAAAGTCAAAGACATGCCAAAGTGCCACCCTAGAAATTATAAAGGATAATGTAAACAATTAAAATTCCCATTCATGCACATGCCCATCAAGCTTTGCTAAAGTGTATACAATTTAAATCTTTGTATCATGACAAAATATAACTATCAGAAACCTTTATTGAACATATACACAGAAGACACAGGTAGATGTGTAAGAACTAAGCCCTAGATTTTTATATTTTCGTATAAGCTTTTTAAATGGTTTAATATTTTTGGATAAACTTTAAAAATTATTTAATATTATTCTTTGAAAAAATTATAGCATTATATATGTTTTTTTTTGTGTGTATTTAAAAATTTTGAAAAAAAAATACATTTACATTTTTTCCCCAAAAATATTAAATCATGTGCAAAGCTTATCCAACAATATTAAATCAAGGCCTACAGAGAAAGAAAAAGCAATTCTAACTGAGATATGAATTGTGAATAGGCATATGAAAGAGAGTCTAACATGTAAAATGAAGATCATGTAGCATGGGATGAAGAACATTTGAACATTGGGCTTCCAGGAATGGAACTTTGGGTAAATATGGTCGATACAGTTTTGGAGGGAGTACCCTGTGAAATGCTCTCAGAGGGAATCATAGACTATAGTATAGGATGCACAAAAGACACCAGAATGTGATTTATTTTTAGTTTCCCCATGAATTATTCATGGATAGATGTTGCAGACATCCTGTGACTACTGACTGAGCAACATACGTCACACTGAGATCATAAAACATGTCCAGAAGCAAAACAAAAAAAGAAGCCTTGCATTGAGCTGTAAATTCATTCTTTACTAGAATCCAGATTCGGACTACGTCCAATATCCAGCCATGGGTCAATGCTCTCAAACTGCTGCATCTCAGCATCAAATCTGACCTGAACTTGCAGAACCAGATTTATGTCTCAACCTGACGTAGACAATACAATATCTGAAACAGTGTCAATGTAACAATCAATAGACAAATCAATACATGCATTCAGAGAATATAAAGTCAAACATGGGATTTGTCAGAAAAGTATAAATTAAGTATCAGAACACCTGTTCTTTTAATGTGCAGTATGAGATCATTATTCCTTAACATAAACCAGCATTTGTGTATTAAAGGACAGAGACATCTCAGGGTCAGTTTTTCTAAAATGATGGCCTAATAAAAATATGGTTCAGGAACACTTTCACAGCAACACTTTCACAGCAACAGAGCAACACAGCAACACAGCAACACAATTAATTTAAGGATGGGATGTACAGAATACCAGTTAGACTAGGAGGTTGTGCATGATAATAAACATTCGACCAATGCTTCCATGTTTTGGCACCATGTTATTACATTAAAAAATGTGCTCTATGCTTTTAGTCTTGCAGGCAGTAGTTAGAAGGACGTGTCGTGCTGTGGTGTCTAACTAAATCCGAAATGTTCCAAAAGAGAAAATTACTGCATCAGAATGTGTTCACAAAATTGCCTTGTAACTTTAACTGCTCCATATGTCTGTAGCACCTGCTGCATATGTGTGGAGTGGAGCTATGGACTTGCATTCCTAAATACAGTAACAATTCTAAGAATAGTGTGGAAAAGTGATGAATGTTGTGTGAAGAACTACTAGAATGGGGTGGGGAGAGGACTTAGAGGAGGATAGGACATTCTTCTCTTTAAATGGTTAAGCAGCAGGGTTAGCAAAACACATTCACCTTTTACTTGACCTGGGTTTATGGATTGGGCAGTGAGAGGAGCAATAAAATTGGATGTACAGAATACCATGGAAGTAATTAAAAGGTAGTAAATGAGATACTCATTGGAATATCATAGAGAAGGACACTGAGGGGGGCTCATTAAAATGAGAAGTTAAGTAGAAAAAGAATGAATTATCAAAGGAATTCACATATATAGAAACATGAAATATTCCAAATAGAGGAGGGGGTGGTGGGGGGTGGGGTGTTTAAGGTTGTGGCAATGAAGGAGTTTTTCATCTGATGAAAAAAAAATGAGCAGGGAAAAAAATACATTGAGTCATAGTGTATCTCGGATAGGAAGGTAAAATCGATGTGTTGAATAGAAGGAACAGGTATCAAGTGTAAGAATAGAGGATTGAAAGGACAGAATCAAGGGCAGAGACAAAGGCAAAGCTATAAATCACTCACTGACAAACAGAAATGCCTTTTTTTGGCTGAATATCACTTACAGGCTGTCTCATCTCTACTGCACGTGCACTCTCTTCTGAATTCTATGCATTTAGTTCGTCTGCCTATGAATAGGACTCTCTCTTTGTACCTTGTCAGCTTTCTTCTCTGGGAATGTCTCTTCTGTGTCTGGATGGTATTCAAGGCAGTCTCTCTCCTCCTCAGCAGTCCGTTACTTTCCCTGGAGATGCTTAGCAGTAACACATAATGAAAGTGAGGTCTTTCATTGATCTTTACAGTCTATTCTCTCTTGCTCTCTCTCTCTCCTTAGTGATCCCCTTCCTGACCTATTTGATGGCACTGTTGTCTCTTTTTCTGCGTGATTGCAAATGTAACCCTTCCTGTTTTTGTCATGTCCTCCCTTTAACTTTGTTGCTGCATTTTGCAACACTTGTCTTTTGACAACCAGTGATGTGTGTGATTGCCACTTTGTATTTTGTTTGCTTTTACAGTTCTTTTCTCTCTCTCTCTCTCTCTCTCTCTCTCCCCCTCCCTCCCCCTCCCTCCCTTTCCCCCTCTCTCTTCCCAACTAATTATCTGCCTTTATCTATATACTTTGTCCATGACAATCTATTATATATATATATTATCTATGCCAACTATATATGTGCTTTTATCTATATCTGCTTTGTTCATGACCTAACCTACATTGTTTGTGCTTTTATGTTGTGCCTGTCACTGTGTGTGTGTGTGTGTGTGTGTGTGTCTATAGTGTAGATGAGCCTATATAGTAATTGCTGCCTGTATGACTATATGTAAATGGAAGAATATTATGTTTAGAACGTTCTGCGTATATCTATCTGTATTTTATTTGTCTGTCCTGTGCATATGTTTATGGTGGTGTGTGTGTGTGTATGTGTGTGTATGATGTTATACGTGTATATGTAATTGTACCTGTGGTTGCCAGTGTCCCTAAGTTGTCTCCATGATAACTATGTGCTCTACAAGATCTGCTGTACCTGTCTCTCCCCCCAGGCTTCCTCCGTCTCTGCTTGAGCAGCACATAGGCGAAGTTATCCCTGCTGTCTCCTGTTTGCTGTCCAAGGTACTGTACTGTCTCACCTTTCCTCCTCCTTGCGCCTCCTCTCTTTCTCAGTAATTCCCTTCCTCTCATCTAACTTAGTTTCTGCCTTTGGTGACAGGTGTGCTCTGACAGCCTGGGGTGGCTGCGTGTGTGTGAGTTTAAATGTCTCTCTCACTAGATCTGTGCGTTTTGTATCATTCTGCAACTTGTTCTGCAATGAATTACTGGCTCATTTATATGTATGTCCCTCCGTGCACGTGAATGGCTGACTGTCCCTCGGGCTAAATGTTTGTGCATACCCATCAATCACTATATGTGCCTGTGTATGTTGATTGAATCTGCTGGTGTGTGTGTCTATAGTCATTTCATATTTTGTTATCACAATGTATTAATCTGGGTCAGGAATACAGTAGTTCAACAGAATATTTATTGTTTCCTACCCCATGTATACATGTATCTAGGTAGGTATGTATCTAATCTATCTATCTATCTATCTATCTATCTATCTATCTATCTATCTATCTATCTATCTATCTATTATCTTATCTATCTATTATCTTAGCTATCTATTGTCGTATCTATATATTATCTATCTATCTATCTATCTATCCATCTATCTATCTATCTATCTATCTATCTATCGATCGATATATTATCTAATCTATCTAGCTATCTGTCTATCTAGCTATCTATCTATCTATCTATCTATCTATCTATCTATCTATCATCTATCTATTCTTCGGGCCCTTTCAAACACAGTGACGTGCTCCATAATAAAACTCCCAGGGATGCTTAAACACACCCCACAGACACACACAGATATATATTCCAAACACTCACTGATATACACACAGGCACACATACTGTAGGCACTGTCTGACCGACAGGCATACATGCACACAGATACACACTGACAGGCACACACATACTCACAAACACACACAGACACACTGATAGATGCACACATACACAATCTGCCAGACACACACACTCTGCCAGACGCAAGTACATACTACCAGACAGCAAGTATACATGCACACAAATGTATGCACACATGTACATATACACACATCATGAGACCAAAGGACAACTGTTTTATTTGCCTTTGCCACTTCACTATTAATAATCATTTATAGTACATGGTTTTAATATTTTAATATTTTGTTTCACAACATCTTGAGTGTGACAGGTGGCCTATTCTCTGTTTTACCACTTGCTGTGCAGTTGATACACACACACACACACACACACACAAAACAAAACATTAACAAAAAAAATGTACAGTTTATTGAGGTTGTTGCACATATTGATAAACTTTTGGATTGTTGTTTGAGGCATTTTTTACATGTTTATGTATATGTATATAGACATGGTGATTAATTAGAGGTGGTTTTGTCAGTCAATTCTGTCATGTGACTCGGATAGCCCTGTAGGTCTGAGTTCAAATGAGTTTGTCTTTGTCTATGCAATCATTATGGTATCTAGCTAAAATAATGCATATTTTGAAGTAATAGAGCCATCTGAAAGAGCAATTGTGCTAGTTTACTTTTGTAGATTTGATACCACTTCTGTGAATTCTTGGTTTCCTGCCTGCTACATTAAGGCATCCAGTCCTGAGGTTTCATTGGATATGAATTGGTTGAAAGACACAAGGGGCAGACTATTTTATACTGATTAATAAAGTATTTACACTTTATAAGATACACTTTTCTAATAGTGGGAACA